TTGGTGCAAGTTAGCGTCCCACAGGGGAATAATCTGACAATGACTCAGGGATATAAGAGAAATATTTAGGAAGCGATCTGATATATATTTTATTTTTAACTCTATAGTTTTAGGAACACTTTTAAATGTGTCAGTTAATATCAAGCATGAGTCACTATCTAATGATGAAGACGTTCGTTAAGAAGCTCTCAGTCAGGAGGAAGAACTCCACTTCAAATCATAACGAACTTAAACAAATGACAATAAAAGTGAACCGAGCTGAAGAGAAAAAAGATTTCCACGACTGTAGTATGAATGAAGTCATCAAGTTAAATTTAATTTAGACATGAATGAACAGACAATCACTGCTGATTCTGGTGCCCGTGTAGCCGCTGCTCAAGAAACTCTAACTCCAGATAAATTAAACAATTTCATAGCAGGCTAATAAATGTCACACATTGCTTTGCAGTTATTGTAGAACAGCAAAAATGAGTTGTTATTCTCAGCAATGTAATTCTTAAACAGTAGGACAACATGGTGGCTTAGCAACTCATTATTAGCGGTGAGTGGTGACTTTCAGTTTGCACATTAATATGTAAATTAAATGTTAATCGATTTTCAAAGGTGTGCATTTATCATGTGTTTTACAGCGGCGCCCAGTGTGACTCAGTCAATCAGAACTGAACTATGCAGTTTGTAATAAGGCAATTCAAGTGCTCTGAAAATGATTAAAAACAAATGGTGACACTTTACTTCAAGTGCACTGCGGATGCATTACAAGCAGATAATAAGCCCCTTAAAGCTCAGACAAACTTTTTACGACGTAATAATCAAACATCAGGAAATTACATTCAATTTAACTTTGTGTCATTAACTGTACAGCTGCCCTGTAAAGCATTCAGCTCATCTTTTTTTCATTTCATGTTTTATAAATCATGTTCTGATTAATTATTGTGCAGTGGTTTGGAGTGGCTTATGAGGACCATTTCAATTAAAGATTTACCAGAGAAAACAGACTCTCGTCAGAGCGGAGAGGTAGAAGCTGGAAAAAGAGGTTTTCGGGCCCGAAAGGAAGAAAGAACTCTCGTGTAGGTCGTAGCAGGTAAACAGGAAGTAGATTAACTCGACATACGTTTGTAAAGCTAAATGCCAGCGCAGCATTGTGCCGGCTGCACACATGGCTTTACGTAGTGAAGATTTTGGTGCTCTGTGCTTTTTATGAGCCTGAGCACAGGGAGGACTTAGTAGTTTTGCTGGGATCCTGCTGAGCACATAATGAATGGCAGACTGCGGCTGTGGGCCTGCCAGGCAAGAAAAAAAAACAGCAGTGTGGAATTGTGGGATAGCGGAGGAGAGTCTTGCGTTGTGTGTCTCGGCGGGAGCTCGCCAAGATCAAACACGACGACAGCGCCGCCGCCCGCTGGGCATTCTGGGTAGACAGACCTGAGGAGGAGGCGCCTGAAAACCAGACAGAGTTTTTATACCTGTATGTGTGTGTGTGTGTGTGTGTGTGTGTGTGTGTGGGTGCTCGTCGTAGCTCTTGGCAGTGTTTTTCAGGAGTGAATGACGGCAGCACGGCGGATGCTGTCATGGCTTTTGTTTTTCTGTTTTTGTTTTTTGCCTGTAGAGGACAGACTTTGAAATGGATTAACGAGAACTGACTTGATGTGACTTCCAGGTTTGCTTTGACATGACTTTCCTCCTTTTGATGTGGCTTCCACCCAAACACACACACTCACACACACACACACCTCATCCATGTCCCTGCATCTGTCCTTGTGTTAGTGATACAGTACTGAGACTACAGCCTGAAGGGTTATCGACTATTCCTGTCTGTCCAGTGTCTATGACCCTCTTCCCTCCTTCTGTCTCTCTCTTTCTCTCTCTCTCTCTCTCTCTCTCTCTCTCTCTCTCTCTCTCTGTCTCTTTCTCTGTCTTTTCTCTCTGTTGATGGCTGATTCACAGTCTGTCTCTTGGCATATCTTTCTCACTGTCTGTTATTTTTTTCCCTTTTGTTTCTTTGTTTCTTGCCTTTCACTTTTCAGATTTTCTTTTACTTTAGATTTTCTATTTTTGTCTATATTTAATAATTTATTTCGTAGTTTTTCTTTCATTCTTGTCTTTCATGCAGACGTTTGTGTCTTTAACTACAAGTTAAAGCATTCAGCCATCACTGAATTTCATTTGAATTTGGTTTTTACTTTGTAATTTCTTTCACATTTTATTTCTTTTTAGAGGTTTTCCTGTCTTTCTTTCTTTCCCTGTATGCAGACCTTTGCATGAAAATGTGTCGCAAACTGCGATGCAAAGCATTCAATAGTGACTAGTGAATTTTGTTGTTTTTCCTCTCCTCTCTTTTTTTTTTCCTGCAGACATTTGCAAACTGCAAGTCAAAGCTTTTAGCCATCACTCAGTTTCCCTTAAACCTTGTTTCTGTCTTTTTTAATTTTTGCTTTTCTTCTTTTCTCTTTTTTTTATTTGCCCATACTGTATTCCCCCACCTGTATGACCACAATGTATCACAAACCACATGCTAAAGTGTCACTGAATTTTTTCTTTCCTCCTTTTACTATCTCAGTTCTTTGTCTTTCTAGCTCTTTTTTTCCTTCGTGCAGATATCTGAAATTCATCACAAATCACAATCAGACATCAAAATATCAGAAAAATCTATTAAAATTAAAAATAGCACACTGTTTTGTTTCAGTGTCTGCCATGATTGGTTAGTTGCATAGCTGCTATGATGGGGAAGGGAGTCGATTGCTACTTCACTGTCAGGTGCAGGTCTTTCTTTCTGTCTTTGTTCCTCCCCCCCTCCACCATTGACTGCCCCCATCAGGCAGGTTTGGGAACTAATCAACGCACCAACTAGGAGTGTGTGCATGTGTGTCTGGGACAGGTCTGGGAGACGGAAAAAAAAAAACAGAGAGTGAGGATGATAAGGAAGAGAGCAAGAGGGAGAGAGTTGGGATAAAGGTGTGTGATAGAATTGGAAGATCAAAGCCTTCTGCCACAGCGTGACTGAGCCCAGGAGCGTTATGGGTAAGACAGGGCACATACACACTCGTACGGACACACACACACACACACACACACACACACACACACTTATGCACGCACAGACACACACACGCACACACTCTCATGGCTGGTATTTGACTCTGAGTGTGATTGATACCGGGCTAGATTTGGAGAATCACTGTCATTCGTCTCTCCGCAGATCAAACAGCCACATAATCTCCCATAAAGGAAAGAGAGATGGAGGGAATAAAAAGGGGACAGAGGAGGAGAGATTGAAGGAGGAAGGATAGGGAGACAGAAAGCGAGAGAGAGAGAGAGAGAGAGAGAGAGAGAGAGAGGTGACAAAGCCTTCTCATCTGCAAAGTATTTTCTTGTTTTCCATAAAAGAAGACTCGCCACCTTAAAAACACATCCATCATTCAGCTCCATTAAACTGCTCCTTGGGCACATCAGAGAGATATCAAGTATCTAAAAAGACAAATGTAAATGGAAGTACTGGACCCCATTTACACCTTGTATAGACATGCAATCTGTATCTCAATATCATCTCTCTGAGTAAAAAATGCAAGCTGTACGGGCATGCAGAACATGTTGCAATCAGAATGCAACCGGATCGTCCAATCCTCATCTTAAATTGGTCTGGATTGTACCGTGAGCGAATCTCAGGCAGGTGTAAGTGACATCTGTACAGTGTGGTCACATTATTAAGAAATAATGTGACCACACAAAAACCTACAGACAGCATCCTCTGCAAAGGAAAAATAAGCTTGTACAGTGTTCCTTTGACCTGGGACACATCACGCCTGTTGAAGTCCACCAGCCTCGGCTACCTAATCTGTACATTACCATCCAATCCCCCTGTGAGCAGAATCACGATAATGAGAGCACTTATTAATAGCAGGTGTAAATGCAGAGACATGTGATCAGACACAGATTGCATGTTAATAACGTGTAATATAGGTCCTAGAGACAGATCGCTGATTGCTGAAATCACCTTGGGACGCGGATGCAGGGGTAAATTTCCCATCCACCACCTCAGTGACCTGAGGTTCAATTTCTAGTAGCAGCCATGTTCATGAGTGGAAGGTGGTTTGAAACTTGTAGCGTATAGATAGGCAGCATAGGTAATCTTTACTCCTCTGTTTCAACCCCAAGTTTTGTTTTGGGGAAATGGGGAGTAACATGAGGAGTTCGATTTTTCAGTTGTTGGAATCAGTTAGAAGCTTTTCACATTTCAGGCAGGGCCCTCGGCAAAAGTTTAAAGTTTAAGCTAAAAATGAAAGATTACAACAGCAACCCTAACTCCTAAGGAAACAAAATGGGCAAGCATAACTACAGTCAGCAGTCTGTGGAGGTAAACCCTTCCTGTATCTACACCCTAAATTTCCACATGCGACAGTTGACAATGTGCGCCCACTCAGATGACATCAAAAGCAGTTTATCTCATCTTATGATTGCAACCAATGAGTGTGAATGTATGTAAATGGCCTTGTGGCAAGTCTCACTTGTAATTCACTCATACAAGCCAACCATGTGTTTGTGTTAGTCACTGGATAGCCAGTTAAGCTGGTTTTAGCACATGGTATTCAGAAACATTGCTACTGTTTCTGTTGCAGTTCTTCTTCTTCCCCTTCTTGGTCTTGGACTGCTTCTACTTGGTCTTCTATTTCTCCATCTTGTTCTCATTCTCGGTCATCTTGTTTTTACTCTTCCTCCCCATGTTCTTAGTCTTGGACTTTTGGTCTTCCTCTTGTTCTGGTGTAAAAGTGTCTCAGGGCTGAGGCAGACTTGTGTCATGCACAGAAAAAACTGAACTGGTGCTACTGAATATTATATCTGAGATGCATACACCTGTAAATGAATGAATGTTTAAGCCATCTGAATTTAATCGGGACACGAGACGCTTGGAATAACGAGTGCACGTGCAAAACGCCATACAGTGTTTATGCATGTGTGTACGTGCAGCATTTAATATATTTTGTCCTTCTCTTCTGTCTCTACAGATGCACCACCCTATTCAGATGAAACCTGCAGACAGTGAGAAATCTAACGGTGAGTGGCCACACACACACACACACACACACACACACACACAGACGCATCAATATCACACACACATGCATCAATAGCCTTTTTGAATTTGCTTGGTAATAGCTATCTCACCCATGTGTTTGCTCGCTGCTTGACTGGCAGACGGGGCGAGGGACTGGGGGAAGAGATTGAGCGGAAGACATAGAGAGGAGCAGAGAAAGAGAGAGATGGGGGGGGAAATGCTGATATATATAAATATATTTTTCTATGTGTGATGAATTATTAAGGTGCTTCAGAAGGAGGTCAGTGAAAGTTGAATCGTTTTGGCCTTGTGGTGAACCCGTCTCTCTCCCCTGTGGCTGCTCGCTCATACAAACATGCTGTATGCACCCTCCTCTCGCCGCACACACACACACACACACACACACACACACACACACACTCACTTAAATGCATCTATCTCACGCACACACAAGGACCGTCACACACCCCGTCCTCAGATCACCCCATTTCCAAACTACATATCGCAGATCCAGTTGTGAATTGATTTCCTATAGCGAGCCTCTTCCTCCATTCCTTCTTATTCTAACGAGGAAGCTGTAGGCAGAGGAAGTATCAGGATGCCTTTAACGGATAGGGCCTGCGTTATTTCATATTTCTCCTATTGTCAACAAATCCCATGAAAAGACAACACAGACAATGTGTTTGTCCAACTATAAATACTTTATGACTCTCCTGTCTGAGGCACTCAGCTCCAAGCCCATTGGTTCCCGCTGAAGACGTACATTTTTAAAAAAGCTCACAAATATATAGCTGGAACAGCTAGTTTTTAGCAAATGTTACACAGGCACAGTGGTGGAAGAAGTTTTATGATTCTTTACTTTAAAGTACTAATACCACAATGACAAAATACTCCTCCACAATTAAGTAAAAGTATGTAATTCTCAGCAAAATATACTTAAATTGCTCAAAGAAATAGTACTCACTGTGCAGTAAAATGGTCTCTGTCAGTGTTACTTTTATATGTGATGTTTTTGAAATAATATTGCTGCTGCATTAATGTTTATATTGCATTTTTGAACTTTGTTATAATGCACTTTCCACAATCCAAGAGGGTTTAAGAAGTAGGAATTCAAATTTAAAATCACCATATTTGGAGATATAGGGTTTTCACTGGACAGGGAGTCATCTGAAAAGTAAGTCAGATAAATAAAGTTGAATAAAAAGTACAATATTTGCCTCTTAAATGTCGTGGAGCAAAAGTATAACGTTGCATAACATGGAAATACTCCAGTAAAGTGCAAGTACCTCAAATTTGTACTCAAGTACAGTACTTGAGTAAATGTACTCGGTTACGTTCCACCGCTGCTCGAACATCTTTAGCCTCTGCAAAGTGGAACGTGAGCAGGGCGTAATTTCAGGAGTGATTTTGATTTCATTTGATTGCTTTGAAGTGTGCATGACCTTTCAATCACGGAGTCTCCAGAGAACCACAGGGAAGTGAAGCTGTATTCCAACCCATCCTCCCACACCTCCCTCGCCTGCATCGTCAAATCACGAGAGGGAGAAATGGAATAACTTTTGGAAACACAAACAATGTTTTCTCCGGCCGCACTACGACCCGCGAGCTAAGGAAGTCAAGTGTAACCTATTATGATGGGAGTCGTCTTATTTGATTGGATAAAATGTATTTATCGACCCTCAAGTGCAGGATGAGTCATCTGAATTATGTTAATGTTTCACAGGAAGTAGAAGGAGACTTGAGATACAAATACTTAAAAGATAGAAGAGCAGTTAATGCAGGGACACAGGATAATAGGGTATCATAAATAATGTGGTGACGAAGGTGAATGTGGTTGTTCTTTCTTGAGACGCTACTGCGTTTGAAAAGCTGTCCTTCTGTTTTATTGTAGATTTTTGTACTGTGATTACGTTACGCTGCTACCTTGGTCAGGTCTGCCTTGTACAAGATGTTTTTTTTTTTTTATCTCAATGGGACTCCCTGGTAAAATAAAAGTAAAATATTTCATTGTGCCTTTAAAGACAGCTTTACAAGGTCGCCCTGGTATCCCAGTCTGTTTTTAATTGGTTTCATTTTGATGCAGCAATAACATTCAGTGTAATTTGTCAGGTTCATTATGTTCAGTGATATTTAGTCGAGGTAGATTTGGAAACTAAAAGACAATGATATTGAAGTTGTAGTTTAGTGGGAGAGGCAGGCAAACACTGTGGACACGGTGTCTCTAAGCAAAATCTGATTTAGTGTCTATTTTAAGGTTCAATTACTCAGTTGTGAAAACGCATAATGTAATTTCCCACTCGCCTCTGCAGAGTTCAGGTTTCTAGTTTGGGTTTCATCTGTTGGTGAGGTATGGCGGGATTATGAAATGACAGCCCCCTGGACAACCATGTCTTTAGAGCCTCATTGGTGGTCGATTGTCCGCCGTTTTCTGATCTCTTCCAGCTGATTACATGCTGTCAATACTAAACCACATCAAACTAAACCTAAATATTCTCCACAAAATCAATTTTATGTTATCACGATGACTTTTGTGGCAATCTTAAGGTGAAGTTCTGAAGGCCCACTTCATAATTCATCCATGGGATATTTGTTTGCTGCCGATGCCTCTGCAGCCACATAAATGTTAGGTAGATAAAATGTCTTCCCAGAGCCAAATTCCTGGTTATAATCTCGAGACCTCGCTGCTGATAGTCTTTACCTCAGGTGGAAAAATATTTCCCTTTTGAAATTGTTGTCAGCAATATGTGTGAATTATTCAGCGTGGCAGAGCTCAAGAAATCTTAGCAGCAGATATCTGAACATTCTGGCAAACAGAACTGAAATTATTTGCATGGCTAAGTGAGAAAATTTGTGTTTTTGCAGTTTGAGTGAATTGACCCTTGAAGCTGAGTAATTGAGCAGAATATGAAAATGGATAAAGCTATGATTGGATGAATTGACCATTAAAATCCAGTTGCAGGTAGCTTTACAGAAAGGATTTGACAAAGTTTGAAAGGTGTGTTTGTACAGGAACCCTGGGTGTATACATATTAAAGCAGGGCCTTTGCCATAACTTTACTTCACAGAGGAGTCCTTCTGGCTGACACACAGACGATGGAGTAGCATCATAAGCCACCTGCTATATCACTGTCCACTGCAGGGGAATACAATAAAATGACAGCATCCAGCAAGGCAGGGGAGAAATCCTTATAAAAGCTATCATCCGCTCCACTGAAATATGGCAAAATACGACTTTATAAGACATAACCGTCAGGGTAACGATGGTGGAACTTAATAAAGCAGCCACTACTCAGAGCCAGAATGGTGAAATATAGAGCAGACCATACGTAACATATCCATCCACTTAATGGTAATGACCTTTAATAAACCCAGTGTTAGAGTCGCTGTAACAGTGACGAATGGCTGCTCAGAGGTTTATTAGTTTAGTCAGAGGAGGAGATGGAAGCAGAGAGAGAGACGGAGAGATGTACAGTATAACAGAGAGATAGCGTTACTGGTAAATCGTGTGTTTCTTTTCACTAAACTTTTTGTGATTCTTTTCCTAATGTGTCGGAACTCAGCATGAAGCCAATTCTGCTCCAGTTTATCCCAGAATGCAAAGCTGACTCCAGATCATCCCAGAGCCGGCTTCATGAGTCTTATCACCCGCCCGCCTGCCTGTGCGCCTCGTCCGAGAAAACACAAACAGTCAATTGTAACGATATCTCCTCTTTCTTTTCTATCGACACAGAGTAAATTAATTACATTGCTGTTAGACTTGTGGTAATCTTCCTCTGGAGTGATGCACACTCACACACACACACACACACACACACACACACACACACACACACACACACACACACACACTGTGTACAAAGGAGTTAAAGCTTTTTGAAACAACACTTATCTTGGCAGCGTATCCCGACGGTTTGTTTTTTTAAACACACAAACAATTCAAACAGCAAAATAAACAAGTGCGCTATTGATTTCCCAGAGTGCAACAGACCGCTTATCTCTTTCGCCTCGCGGTAAGAGCTGACAGTTTCCTCATTAAAAATGAATTGGATTAGCATTACATTGAATGTGGTGGGAACGCATAAACACACACATACACACACACACACACACACACACACACACACACACACACACACACATTGTTTCTGCGAGCGATGAGGAGTTCGCTCTCAGCCGAAGTCACACTTAACCTCACTCACACGCACCGAAACCCCCGGCCCAAGTTTCTCACCGTTACCTGCAGCCCGCCTTGCATTCCTCGACGTTGCACCGGAGGAGGAGGGATTGTGTCAGCGAAGGAGAAAGAGAGAGAGAGAGAGAGAGAGAGAGGGAAATCCACAAGGGAGAAGGGAGGAGGATAGAGGAGGAAGAGGAGGAGAGGTGGAGGGAGGAAGAGGGTGAGAGAGAACAAGCTGGAGAGTCTCAGCGAGCAGTCGGTGTTGAAGTGATAATGAGACATTGATCAGAGCCTCGCAGATGGCATGATGAAATACATGAACTCTGTCTGTGTTCATCTCTCTCCCACTGTCTTTTTTTGTCTTTCTTCCCCTCTTTCTGTGACTGTTTCTTTTGATTTGTGTTTTGTTCTGTCTCATTCCATTTATCCACGTTTCTCGATTGTCCTGTTTTTGTTTTATCTTTTTGTATTTTGTCTTTTTATTTCGTTCTTTTTCATTCTCTTTGTTCTTGCCAATCTTTCTTTCTCCTTCACTGTTATTCTGTGTCTTGTCATTGTTATATCTTTTAGAAACAGTGAATTCCAGTGCAACGGGAAGCCTGTTCTCTGGCTACCTCCATGTAATACACAAAGATATAAATGTAGTGTTAAAGGGGTGGTTACCACTCCTCTGCAGCCTGTTAGCATAGCTTAGCTCAAAGGCTGGAAACAGAGAGAAACAGCTCGCCTGGCTCTGTACAAAGGGAACAAAATCCACCTAGAAGCACCTCTAAAACTCAATGATTAACATAGTATATATTATACTATAATGTTGTTTTACACCCTGTAAAACAGCAAGTTGTGGTCCAATCCTCTCAACTAACTCACAGCATGAAAGCAATTTTACCAGAATGTCTAACCATACAACAAATACTGTGCAGTCCTTCCCTCCATTCACACTTTTTCGTATTCTTCCTCTCCTTGGCTCCGCAGCGGTGGAAGACAGGAAGTTGTTCATCGGCATGGTGTCGAAGAAGTGCAACGAGAACGACATCCGGGTCATGTTCTCTGCGTTCGGTCAGATTGAGGAGTGCCGGATCCTCAGAGGGCCCGACGGACTGAGCAGAGGTGTGTGTCGCTCCGACTCACTTCCATCCACACGTAATACTCTTCATGTGAATATTATTACCAGAACAGCCTCCAGCAGCTGTTGCTGTTCATTGTGTCATGGCTCAAACTGAAATCCTGCAGGAAGTCTTTACTGTGTCGCTGTTCGAGTAGATTTGGCTGGTTGAAGACGGTGTCTGAGTCAATGGCTGGTGTCAGAGTAAAAGCAACTTTTCACATTAAAGTCATTTTGTTTTCATGTCCAAAAAATCTAGGAATTTATCTCATTGTCATCCTTTAAAATCTGTAACCTTAAAAAACATCATTCCAACCACTTTCTAGTTTAACCATTTATTGCGCGTTTAACATACTAAGTATTTTGCATAATCAGCAGCTCATTTGCATGTTTTCAAGCATTTTTCTCTTCACTGACTATTTACTGGAAGTTTTTTCTGAGCTGTCAATGTCACCATAAGACACTGTTTACAGTAAACTCTGGTGATTAGTGTCTCTCTGCAGCACGAAACATAAAAAACGTTTGGAGACATAAACTTCAGGAGACAGTTGGTTTTACATTTTTCTGCTTCCTTTTAAAAAACTTTCCCCATTTACCTGAAATAGCCTTTTTAAGTGGTGATCAGACTACACAATATTTTTGTCTTTTGACATGGTCACTTTTTCTTGCATGTCGGACTTTGTGTTAGACTTGCTTGCCGCACACTTGCAAGTGGTACATAGGTAATTGGGAACAAGTTGCATCAAGGCGCCTGATAGCACCAATAACGGATCTTTACATGTGTGAACACGCAGTGAAGGTGGGCCGTGTATATGTGTGTGTGCAGAGAGTGAGTAATTTAATGCTCCTGAATCAAGGGTTCATTCCTTTTCTGCTTCACTGTGTTTGCAGTTCTGTGTGGACGAGTGCCCATCGTAGAAAGTTGTCAAATTATGCAAGAGTAGGTAAAGAAATTGTGCCATGCTAGTCTTTACGTCTAAACATTGTGAGATGAACTATTTGAGGTCCAGTGTGTAATACTTAGTAGGATCTATTGGCATGAATGGAATATAATATTCATTGGTATATTTTCACTTACCGCCATATTGAACCGCCATGTTTCTTCAGCGTTATTCATGAGTTTCACAGCCACAGTAGTTTCTCCTAGACACTTGGAAGTCCTAGCTGTATTCAAATCACCACTAGATGCCACTAAATCCTACACACTGGTCCTTTAAGGCTACAGCCACAGGATACAGAAACTGCAGAAATAATTGTAATGCACTAAGAAACCAAACCAAAGAAACCAGTAAGAAACCAAAGAACAGTAGAGCTGACCCCTCAAAAATTGGTGAATCTTCTGTCTGGGTTTCATCAGTTTATCTAGTGTTTGGGCAATAAGTTACGGCGTACACATGCTCTTCTTTCCTGTAGCTTAAAATCCCTGCGATAACTCAGTGGTGCAACACTGCCTGTAGCATACCAGGACCAAAAACTGAAGTAAGAGTGATGTGCAAAGCAAACAAACCCAACAAACCAAAAATCCTTGCATGCCTCGCGTATAAAGCTTTGCATGTTACCTCCGTGAATCCGAAATTCTGGGTTGACCTGAACAGTGAAATTGAGCTTATTATTCTTCATTTTGTGTCTACTAAAAGCATTGTATCAGTTCCTGTTTTCAACCAGCTGCTTTTTGAAAATGGTTAAGATTTCCTTCAAGGTCTCTAAAGAGTCATATTAAAAAGTGAATACAAATGAACTGTAGCGACATCTTGAGGCTGTTGTGGCCACTGTGAATACATGCTTCTCCTTTTCGCTCTATATATCTCTTTTGCCTCTCTCTCTCTCTTTTTTCTCCCCCTCTTGCTCTCTCAGCCTCAGCCCCTGATCACCTGCCCCCCCCCCTTCCTCCTCTGACCTCCTAACCTCCATTCATATCCTTCACCTTCCCTGCCGTTCCAGTTTAGCCTCACCGTAAGCCAGTCCTAAGCTCTTTGATACTTCCACAGTGAGGGCTGAGGGCATTTTCAAACCGGCAGTCCAAATCAGGAGACGTGTTGCTGCTTGTTGCATTTACAGTATGTATCTGGTTGGTTATGTTTCGCACAGCAGAACTTCAATTTCAAAGCCATGTTACAGCAATCATTTTCCTTTCCTTTCCGTAAGTGGTCAGGAAAGACACAACACACAGAGGATGCGCTGTTTGATCACTGTTGTTCCTCTCATTCTTCAGGTCATATAGAAAGTAAAGCAAGTAAACATGGTCAAATTGAACTTATTAAAGACAAGGAGTCAGACACAGTGATACCAAACAATAGCTTTTTTTCAATTCCTTGCTTTGAGAAAATCTTTTTGTGATTTAACGCCAACATTTCACCAAATATTCTAATGATAAATCCAGGCATTACACAAGAAAAAGGCGAATTTCAAGATTGCAAAAATCACAGGAAATCCTTGTAATAGCAATCCTTTCCTTTTCTCAGTTTCTCAGAGAAGTAAATTATGATTTGGCCACTTAGATTTGGCGAGAAGCTGTTCCAAACTCCACAAGAGCACATTTAATCATGACTCCAAAATGTGGCATCTCAAAACTTTTAAATTGCTCCAATTGATTTGGAGAGGGGTTCGCGCTGCCTCCGCACCAGGCAAAGGCAAACAGGCTACCTGTTCAATTCATGGCATGTTGGCGTGTAATTGGCAATCATTTAGGTTACATAAAACCAAAAAATAGGCCTATTAACAAGCAGTTAAACCAGCTGGATTTATTGACTCTTGAGTTTGTCTAATGTGTTCTCCAACAAACTTGAAAATAACAACCCTAAAAATGCCCAAAGCCAAATTTCAGCGGATCATAATGTCGAAATATGACCAGCCGTAGCACTCTCAGCTGTAAACCAGCTGCCTCATCTATCAATCCAATCTCAGCTATTGTACCTCTATAAATAGTTCTTGTAGTAACACTGGGACCCCTTCTATCATCAACCATTCCTCCCCTCAAACACACACACCTGCCCAGCCCCCTCATTTCTATCTCCCCAATACTCCTTACCTCCCCCTCCCCTCTCCCCTTTGTGGTTTCTATGTGCTGAGGAGATGGAGGGGCTTTTGAAACTCTCTGTCCTCCTATTCCTCCTCCTCCTGTCACACGAGCTGTCATTGTCATTGTCACGCAGGTTCAGTGTGGATCTGTCACGTATATTTTTTTCTGTGGTTGTCGGACGTTATGGATGTTTTATTGTTGACTTGAGTCTTATTTATTTCAATGTGTCTTCTCTCTCTCCTTCTCTTCAAGGTTGTCTCTATCTAGAACCAATCTTTGCCTCAAACTAAGCAACTCAAACTCCCATGTTCCTTTGCTTCTTCAAACAGCACCACCCACCCTCTATCTATCTATTCAACCTGGCTGTCCTAGAATCCTCTCTTGCATCAATTTGTCCTCTTTTTCCCAGACATCCCACATCGGCCTCCTTCCCTCCCTTCCCGGATTCCTTCTTCCATCCCTTTTCAGCTCCTCTCTTTTGTCCTCATGAATATTTCAGATGCGATGGCCAAATCCTCGTTTCTGTAGAGCTGGTATAAACCACTTAGCAGCTGAGTAAGTCAAAGAGGAAATGCTTGTAGTCCAGCTCGGGTCTGGCTAGTAAATAAACAACCCTAGCCAGGTTGGAAAATAAATAGGTCTTTAAGGATTTCTTTGTTCCTGCGAGTCCCAGAGGCCTTCAGTCCCACCTAGCTGCGCTGCTGAGCTCCTATTAAATCGTGGTATCAATCAGAAGAGCGCTCTGCCATCCCGCTATTAATAAAATATGGATCACACCACCAGTGGATGGCTGGGCCTTGGGAGCTACCCTACTTTCATTAAAGGACTGTTTGGTTCTCCGCTGACGACAGAATGCGGCCCGCAAGGTATTTTTAGCACTGAAGCCACGTCCCATCTCTCTGCCGTGAAAAATAAGACATGCACCAACCAGCCAGAAAGCATGACTTCTAAAGTTGTTTTTTTTTTTTTCATTAACAGCTTCAACATTAATGAATCAATGTTCAGGCGCTGAGGAATTCTTTATTTAGAAGCTTCAGCAGGATCAAGCTGGAGAAACCGGCTAAAGATAGATATTTTTTTATGAGGGAAAACATTATTCTTGTGTGCCAGTTGGACACAAACCCAGGAGTTTCCATTAGATGACAACCAATGACGTTGTAGCTGACCAGTTTTATAAATAGAGTCAGGACCCATCAGGCCCAGTCTGGAGGGCTAACCCAAATGGAAGCCCCCTCCAGAACTGATCCAGTTCTGGGGCAGCGTTTCTCTGCAGAGGATGGGGCAACCTCCTGGAAAGTTAAATGACAGATTGTGGCCCGTCTAAAATAGACAGTCCCCTGAATCAGTTGAAAAAATGACCCCTTTTCAAATGTCCTATCTACAGTAATACCAGCTAGCACAGCAGCCCGGCACTGTAAAGGACACCTCGGAGTGTTTACTAGGTCAGTGCTGCAGAATCTGCTAACCTTGAGTCTCTTTTTATTACCTTCTTACAGCTCTAATGTCTCAGCAAGGCAGTTTTGAAAGATGAGTAAACTATAACTTCAAGTTGGCAAGGACATGTAAATAAAGCTGGACCAGTCTGAGACTGGATACTGTAGATATTAGTGTGACAGTCTGAACAAATGTTCCCATTCAAAGGTGGTGGAAGTAAAACATCAGCTGCGTCTTCCTGCATTGTCTTAAAATATTGGGGCCCAATTGAAGCAGATTTTGCTGTTTTAATATGAGCTTTTACATTTTAATGTTTACAATAATGGAGTTTCCCTATAAACAAATAAAAATCATATTTACATAATGTATTATTCACCAAAAGGTACTCTGCCAAGTGCTTTTCTTGCATATTTGTCCAGTGTACAAGTCTGGTTTCCACCAAGTCGGACCACTTTGGTTTGGTTGCAATAAGTAACTAAAACTACCTGGTTAAGATCAGGTAAAGATTGTAATTAGGATTAAAAGAAACTATTATTGACTTTTGGTAAAAAAATTTTGATTGGAATCAAAGTTGATAGCTTTATACACCCAAGCATTCACCTCAACCTCCTACCGAAGAGGTTTTGCAGCACTAAAACAACGCCGTGCTACTTTCAACTCTGCTTCTGACAGACAATTGAAAACCATAAACATAGGTCGTTTTTTATAATGCTGTAAATTGTTTTTGCTGGGGCAGTCTTTTGATTCTGAACTCCTGCCGAGCACCCAATTCACTGTTAAGAAGCACACTTGTCCTGTGTCTGACACGGTGTACTTAGCTTGACGCACACAGTGAGTTATCAGAAAGATTTGTCTTGCGAAAGTGGACAAAAGACATGATTATAATATTACTGTAGCGATGCGTGGCCGCTGCAAGGACATGTTCTCTGTTGTCAGGGAGAAGCCTTTGTCGGAAATCTGTGTAGTGGATGAAAGCGGGAGAGAAACTGACCATCCGTCACTCTCAGCCTCGTTCTATCACAGCAACAGCAGGCTTTTTGATAGAGGTGGAAGAGGACAATGATCGCATCTATTCCTCAACACATCTGTCCTTCCTCTCTCTCTCTCTCTCTCTCTCTCTCTCTGTTTCATTATCCATCCTCACATTTTCTCCTGTCTTTTTCCTCTCTGCCCCTTCATCCCATCCACACAGCCCGGGAGTCTATCTGATGACCCAGGCTATTAGTTTTTACCTCTATTGCCAAGCCACGAGTCAGCCAGCCGAACCTGAACGTGCGTGTGTCTCTGTGTCTGTCTGTCTGTATGTGTGTGTGTGTGTGTGTGTGTGTGTGTGTGTGTGTGAGAGAGAGAGAGCATGTGTGTAATCAGTTCAGGCCTGGCTGCGCTAACATGGCTTGGTGAGTTTGTTAGCATATTATTAGTCCGGGGGGTTGTTGAAGCACTTCTCACATTATCTCCTCTAATCACTCCCTAACCAGCCAGGCAAACACAACCTTGCATTACCCCCTACCCACAAACAGCCAATAACAAACTCCCCTAAAACTGCCTCTGGCTGCGTCCGATCTTGATTGGCTAAAATCAGTGTCAGTCACGGAGGAGGTCGACCACACCTCTTCTCATCTCTTCCTCCCTCGTCCTCGTCTCTCTGTGGATTGAATTAATATGATTTTCTATCTGACTCCCGTCTTCCCGAGCCCCTGCAGATATCTTGTCCTGGCTCGCCCCGCCCCACCCCGCCGCCGCCACATCTCTTTCCTGTTTGACAAAGAGAGAAAGAGGGCACCCAATCAGACACACAATGCAGGCCCAAATGAATTCAAATCGCTTTCATGCAAATTTGCACTGATTTACATCGTTGAATTGTTGAGAGAAGAGAGCGGTTGAATTCAGGTATGACTAATTCGGCCAGTGTGTAGGAGCGGAGAGGAAAAAATAAGAGACAGTGACAGAAAGAGACGAGGAGGAGGAGGAGGGAGGCATCAGCCAACCAATCCAAAGCCCCAGTGGTGATAGTGGTTGTCTCAGATGTCCTGTGGTGGCTGTGGATGGGGCGAGGTGGTGGGACGGGGTCTGGGGAAGGGTTGTGGTTGTCATGACACATGTGCTCGTTTTTCAGCTGTTGTTTCCACAGCGACTGAGAACACTGTTGTCCGCCTGTGAGCTGTTCTCTGTATCAATCTCTGTTTGGGTTTTTTTATAACAACGACGTGTCCAACCCTTTTGTCTTGTTTTTGTTCTTTCTTGTCTTCCCTCCTCCTCCTCCTCCTCCTCCTCCTCCTCCTGCCCTTCTGCCCTCCCCCTCCTCCCTTCCACTGTCCCACCATCCCTCCCTCCTCTCCTCCTCTCCCCTCCCTACAGGATGTGCGTTTGTCACGTTTTCCACCAGAGCTATGGCACAGAATGCAATCAAAGCCATGCACCAGTCTCAGACTATGGAGGTACTGTAACTCTTGCCCTTTCTTCAACTCTTCTCTTTCTCTCTCTGTCTCTTCAGCTCTGTTTAAACATGCACTTCACTTTTAATGTGCCAGCAATGTAATATGTCGGCCTCATGTTTGAATATCTGTAAGCCCCTGAGTCACCCCTCTGTAAAAGTCAGGAGTTACTACTCAATGTAGGTTGAACATTTTGGTCACACTTCCAGCATGGTTTGAGTCTGAACTGTTGCATTAATGTAAAGGCTCCCGCTGCACTAAGTTAAACAGAGACAGATTAAATGTGTCTTGGATTTCCTTGTTAAGGGCAGGTCAGATCAGTCAGTTTAACAGGCAAAACGCTTTTTCCAGCATGTCATCAAACAGAAATTTAACTATACTCATTTTCATCTATGCTTGGGCTGTAATTGAACTGTTTAAAAGAGAATAGAAAGGCTTTAGGAAGTCAGGTGACGTAGTATAATGAGTGATAGTCTGTGTAGGGACGAGGTCGTGGATGAATGGGTCAAGCTTTTGACTTTCACCCAGGAGACTTAATATTTGTATATTTTAAAAATGATGTTCAGTTTTCAGTTGCAGGTTGGTTAGGTTTAGGCTGCATAACTACTTGGTTAAGTTAGGAAACGATCACAACGCCAGAAACTTCTTTCTCTGACCGTGCCAAGCATACAGTAATGTATCCACGCATGTCATGTGTTGGAAGTAGCAAAGAGTGTCACCAGTGCCTTGCAAGCTAAGATTAGAAACAGATGAAATAAAAATTAACCAATTATGGACATTTTACATACGTGTCATAAAAGCCAGCAACGTTACACACTCTGAGACGGCTCCTCTCGTTTTCTTCCTCCCTGCTGACGTGATGAAATCGGTGATTTTTCTGTTTCCAGCTAGGACAAACTTTGGTAAGGTCTCAAAACCGCGACAAAAAAGCAGCACCTTTGACACAATGGGTAGGTGGTATTACAGACCTCATCAGCTGCACAGCGAACCCGGCGGTGCCGGGGACAGCTCCTTTGTGTTCCACCGGTTTTGGGGCGCCCTTGTCAACATTGTCAGGCCGGTGACAGGGCAGGATGACAGGGCTGTGATTGGGAGAGAATTACATGGTATAAGACGAGCGTGAGTGCATGTACGCTTGAGTCAAAGAGGGAGACAAAAAGTGGTAATAACAGGCTGTGTTAAAGGAAAAAGACGAGTGGCGTTCACCCCCGTAGCCCCCTCATTAGAGCTGATCATGATAATCATGGATGCCATTGATGTGCTGTGACCCTGACATGGGGAAAACGCATGCTCCTCCCTCCATCTGTCCATGTGTGTGTGTGTGTGTGTGCGAGCAGGGATTTTCTGTTTATATTGTCCCACTGCGAATATCAGTGAAGTGTCTGTGTTGATTTATGTGGCCGAGCAGCAGCAGCAGCAGCGTGTCTGTCTTTCTGAGTAGAAGGAGTGACACTCTCCTCCGACAGCGTTAGTATTAAGCTAGAATTATCCTCGCTCTGAGCAGTCGTCTGCCACAATGGGCCTGGTAAACACTGCCAGTGTCCCTTGCTTTTATCAGGCACACAGGAAAAAAAAGCCTTAAACCATAACACAACGATATTGCAGTGGACAATGGCAAAATACCTTCATTTCCATTTGAAAACAAGCTGTCTAGCCCCAGGCGGACCTAAATTGCCGCAACCGTTTGTTAATGTTCCTCAGTTTTGCAATTTAAAAGTAATTACTTCGGGTCCGTATGAGGGAATGAGGTCTGGTAAATAGAGTTTGGTTATTGTCTTGGCTCTATTGCACCCCACTGTCTTAGATAGGGCAAGATTGCGTGTTTGTGTTTGTGTGTGTGTGTGTGTGTGTGTGTGTGTGTGTGTGTGTGTGTGTGTGTGTGTGTGATCCCCGGCACGTACGCACCGCATGTCACTAGGAAAAAGGGAGGCGGCCCGGGCTGTCCATTCGTTGATGGCCCTGTCACTGTCATATCCATTCTCATTACGCTGTGACATTCAGGTACACGCTAGCACACACACACACACACACACACACACACACACACACACACACACACACTTCTCACGCGAACACACATGCTCGCTGAATGTCAGGCCGTAATGAAAGTGGATATGAGCGAGACAGGTAATTCACTGTCGAACCTCTAAAGACACACAAGGAGAGAAGTGGGTTGGCTTCATTGTGTTGCATTTGTGTTGATTTGTGCTTTACATTATTCACTCCCTTTATAAATACTCATTTAGCGCTCAGTTCCCCCTGTGCAGCGTTCCATCAACACTGATTTCTGTTTCCACCTTTCTTTTTTTCCCCCCACATGACACTGGAGGCCCACTTGCACATTATCCTGCCCTCGCTGCATGCGCACACACCCCCGCCATGAATGCACAAGCGTTCAAGCGCATGTAGACAGGAGCTTAAGTAGAGCATGAAAGAAAACAGAGCAGTGTCTGTTTAAATAGTGAACAAACACATCTGTCAACTGTAGTGAAGAGAGGAGACAGATACAGAAAGAAAATATTAGATTAGATTAATCAGGGGCTGATGGTTGTACCAGACACCATGTAAGGGTGGATGATCCCACTGGTTTTTAAACAGTCATAGTCAGTCTGACTTACAATACATAACGTTTCCACTTTAAAACTAGACCTAGAACTGGAGTTGTGTACTTACATTATCCCTAATATTTCTAACAATGGTCAAACCCCGAAAAAGCCTAATTTTATTCAGGTATCGGAACGTTTGTTACTTTCCTCTCGGTGCTATAACTTCCAGGTAACATGGTAAAGAGTTAGAGGAACACAACTAAACCTAAACATAACGTGAATAAAACTTTAATACATAACCTCATCTGCAAGCATTTCATCTGCAGTGGCGGTTGTTTAACACGAGCCAACGCTACTTCACTTCACCTTTACTGTATTTAGTCACATCTGACTCATGTATTTGCCCTCAGTTGCCAGTAGCGAGAACACTCAGTTATGTATAGTCTAATGCAGTCCAGAAATAAATCCTACTTTCAACTTTTTGATCAGTTTATAAACTGCCATTTGTGCTGCTGTTAATTGTATCATGTTATACTCACTGACATTGGGCAAAATATTAGAAATAGCACAGTACAATTCTAACTACAATGTCTAAACTGAGTATAAAGTTGACTCAGTACCTCTCTTGAAAATTTAACCTTCATAAAGACTGAATGGCGTTGTTGTATTTAACTTCAACATTTGTTTTAACTATGTGAATATAATACGATACTGTACACACTTGGTGATGTATTATTGTAATGCCGGCTGGGTATTCTGCGCAACCTTCCATGTAACTTTATTAGTATTAGTGATACATTACTACATACTTCTGTAGAAATATGGATTTCAAACAGCTGCCTTTGAAGTGTTTGGACCTATTCTAGCACTGCACAGGCTTCAGTTAAGATTTAATCATGGTGGATTTGAACAGTGCATAGTTCCAAGTATGTAATTGTCTGTGAAAGTGAAAGTTTTTGTAAGCAAAGTGTTTTTGGGACATCAGGTTGAAGCAATGTGCACACCAAGTACAGAGACTTGGCGTGCAAACTCTTTAGTTAACAGAGCCTCCTGCTTTCCCGTTAGTAGCTGAAGATCACATGGTTTGACATTTAAAGACTATGTGAGTGGTAAGCAGATGAAATGGAGAAGGTTCAGAGCACATAAACTCTCTTGAAAGCTATGAGAGATTGATTTTCAAGGTAATCGGACCGGAGCTTATAAGTTCAGTATGCGCGTGTGCGTTTAAGCATTTTGGGAAAGATGGGAAGCGATGTGTAAAACTCTCTTCACGGTTGTCTCAGAGAGTTGGCTTCAGGGAGTGTAGTCGGGTTTATTAGCTGAGTGAACTCCTGGTTAAGTCGATCACAAGTCTGTAACTTCTGTCACAGACAAAAGTTGGAGTTTTCTTGTGTGTGGACAGTGAGACGAGGTCAAATCACAGCCGGAAGAAGGTGCTGAGGTGTACTTTCACCGCATGACAAATGATCCATATGGTGTAATTATATAATTATACATTTAGATACTATAATTATGCCAGGTGCTTATTGCCATGTCTGCAGTGTAATGAGAGACTATAGGTTGTCACGCTGTCAGCCTACAAAGATCTGTCTGTCAATCACAGGTGTAGTGTGATGTCAGCACAGAAGAAATGTGATTGGATGACTTTTAAAGGAAGGGACAATCAGCCTGCTAAATAATGACATCCATATCTCAGTTCCTTCAATGATCCAAACTTAAAGACATGTAAAGATGTAAAGATATGTATCCAAGTATGGCATTTTTGTGTAGAAGCTTTGTCAAACATTGTAAGAAACAGACAAAAATAACAGAGAGGAGTGTTTTCCCTGTAGAAACATCTCCTGGTGAGAAAGGTTCCTGTGAGACTTCGAGCACTTTATTTTCTTAAGATGTGAAAGTTGTGCAACAGGGGAGACGGTCTGCAGCTAAATATCACTATACTGAAATAGCATCAAAAAGAAATCGATGCTACACCACCAGCATCGAGTTAATGACATGCTATTTTAAAAACATATGAAATCAGAGACCATTTAGGACAAAACAGTAACAACTTTTTTATGACAACAAATTAGCATTCTTATGAGATAGCATTATTCGTCTCTTATTAATAACTTCAGAATATTCTTGTGTGTTAACAATCTACAAGGGTCTCATGAAATATTTTGGTGCCCATAGAGAGGAGAAGTCATCACGTTGCCCCCTGCTGTTTGTGTTCAAAAGTGGACAATTCAAAGCAAATCAGATGGATTGCAAATTTAGTTTAACACAACATGAGGTGTAATTGCGCCCAGCGGCAGGGTTTTCACAGACGCCCATCAGCAACAAATACCTATAACCATTAGTTTGTCAGATATTCTAAAATGGACCAAAAAAGTTCCTAGTCCGGTGATAACACGTGCTTCCTGCCTTCGGTGCTTTAGAAAAGTGACTCAGAGGCTGTTCATTTTAGAAAATCTAAATATACTGTACATCAGATTTTTGCAGGAGTTATCTGAATTGTGAGCTCAGAAACTCAGAAAACAAAGTCCTATTTTAAGCTAATGGAATGGGTTTATAAGCATATTTTCTCATATTTCTCTGAGTTCATTCTCTCTTGCTTATTAAAATTGTAATCCTAAAGATTTCAGTCCTGGTTTATCCGTCAACACTGCAGCAAACACCCAGAAGAAGCAACTTTGTCAAAAATACATCAAAAAAGTAACTGGTGTATCTGTTTGCAGTGCAGCCTAACAAACTCATGGTGTATTAATAAAGAACCCGGTCAATAATTTGACTTTTTCCATCATAGTATGAGTAGCCTCGATCTGATTTGATTCTGCACACGTTTTCCACACAACAGCAGGACTTTTTACCTATGTTTGCTGCAATATTTAAAACCGATCTGCTGTCAAAAAAACTTTAAAACGTGGTAACCTTTGTGAAGCAGCAGCATTAGCAGTAACTTAATCCAGCTCTGATATGGCAATAGTGAGGTCCAATTAAAAACAGTAATGTTGGATTGTATGCTGCATCCTTTCCTGGAAATCCCTTCTGTTTATGAAGGCAATTTGAATCTACCACAGGAATGGCGGACTCCGCCACTTACCATGAAAACTACTATATAGAGAGGTCATTACAGAATTTCTGCTATTGCAGACAATAGTCTAAAAAGGGGTTTGATTTGTGAAAATCATGGGCATAATGTTTTAAAGAAGCATGTAACCCTTTGGCTTTTGTGAAAACTAAAAAACCACCTCATTTAGAAATACATGGTTTTCCATGGACAGTGATGTTGTTTCATCTCACTCGTGGCTCATTAGCACTATAGTCACACAGTGTTTGATATATGAAAGTTCAAGCTGTTACTAATCTATGATGAATTATTAAAAATGCCCCTACGGTAAAATCAACGATGATTTGTTTCTTTGAGCGAAACCAACAGATGGCAAAAGCTGCCAATTTCCCTCCGTGTGTTTTCATCATTTAAGGGCAAAGTTGACCAACCAGTCAATCGCCTGAAAAACTTTAAAGTGCCTCCCAGTTTGCAGTGAGAACCAGCAGCAAGTGTAGAGGCCCCTCGCCTTCGGCCCCTCTCCCAGGGCAGGACTCTCATTCTGGGCTGCATTTCCCCCTGCTCGCTGGGTGTCAGCTGGAGTAATGAGATATTTAGCAGAGAGGGATAGGGAGCTCCTGTCTCAAGGGGAATCGACTGCAGCGGCGCGGCCTCAGACTGACACTCTCCCTCCGAATGCAATTCTCCCATCGTCTCCTCTCCTTTATCTGTCGGCGGTCAGAATAAAGAGGGAAAATGACTGGTGGAGAAGCGGAGTAAATATGGCCGAGTCGCCGTCAGACAGGAGACATGCTCATTCAGCTGATAAAGTCGAGCCCCAGCCCACAGAGGAGGGGTTGTCTGGTCACACACACGGAAACACACACGGACAAGCATCCAGGTACACTGTGGAAAAGCGGTTTCAGCGTCAGCCTTAAAATTGAACATTGGTTAAATTATGCCTCAGGTTGTTTTCACTCTCTTTATGTGCAGGCTTATTGCATTGTCACTGCATATCTTAGCAAGCTGTGTTACATATTATAATTTTCAGGATGAGTTTGGATACTCAGAAATGCCAATATTCGGCATGTGAGCGGCATTTGTACAGGTTCAAGGACACAAAAGCATTCATGGACTTTCTCATTCCCTGTCTGAGATGAATATGTTTAGAGTTTTAGCACTACAGTTCCCATCATGCTCTGGGAGATTCAGACTGAAAGTGTAATGTCGCCACTGAGTCTGTGAGTTAACTGTGGATGCTGGCAAAAATCGACACCATGGAAAGTTATGCTGAGTTAAAGGTGCGATTTTTGGCACAAAAAAATGCTTCACTGCTTGTTAAATGAACTTGACACTTAAACTTAAAAATATTAAGTGCGGCCGACGGTTTTGATGTCATATTGTCAAGAGATGATAGTCCTGTTTGCTTTGCAATTATATTTTATCTTCCTGTAGAGTAGCTCTTAATGTAATGGCGGTGGTACCATGAGGGCTTGTGCTGTCAGCTTTAATTCGCCATCAATTAGCTGATGAAACTTGTAGGTAAAGACTAGGGATATAGACTAAAGGGAATATTATGTCTTAATGAGAATCCAAAATAACTAGTGACAATTGCTCTTATCATTGAATCATTAAAAATTATTTGACAACAATTTTGGTAATTGTTTTATTGTTTAAGTCATTTATCTGGCATGCTAAGAGCTTGCTGCTTCAAGCTTTTAAAATGGGAGGATGTGCCTCTTTTCTCTGTTTTATATCACCGTAAACTGAACATATTTGAGTTTTGGAGACAGCAAGAAATATGAGGATATCACCATCGGCACTGGGAACTTCTTGGAGGGCATTTTTAAAAGTTTTTTGACACTTTATGAATAAAATAATAAATAAAAAAGTGATTAGATGCAGCCTTACTAAGATATATATATATATATATAGGAAAGACCCAAAACAAGCCTCCATCATTAAAGTTTCCTTAAACTAAAAGAAAGACTTCTTGAGAGTTTGAATTCAAATATGATGCATGCTGGGAAGTATGATAATTCCAAACTTTCTGATCATCAGTATAAGTTCTGATAAAAGGAGTTGATTTGAAGATTTTACTGAATCATACATACTGAGCCACAGCCTCTGTCACATGCACTTACACGTATGTGTACACATAGTCACACTTAACATTCATCCACATGCGCGCACACACCTGACATATATCACAGCTCCGACTGCGTGCTGCGCTATCTGCAAAGTAGCCAAATCCCTCCTCTCCCCCGCCGAGTGCGGATCGTGCCTCAAACTAAATGTTTCAATCAAAAGGTTTTTATTCTCCTGTGGCAGATTGCCTTTGTTTCGAACGGATTTGCCCCTAGTTAGACTTTGATTGCAGCGTGTGAGTAATGGTGTGGTGTGATATATTATGACTCGTTTCAGCTTCATTGTGTTTCAGCCGTCGCTGCAACTTTCATCCGGAGCGTTGTTTTGTTTTTTTTTTATCATTTTTTGTGTGTGACTGTTCATTCATCTCTTTCTCTCTGTCTCTCTCTTTCTCACACACACACACACACACACACACACACACACACACACACACACACACACACACACACTGCTTCTCTGAGGAATAAAAATTTGGACAATTAGATTAGCTGATTGTCCAGATCTCTAAATCTTCCTCTTGCCCTCTCAACCCTTTTCTGGTCATCCCAATCAATGTCTCTCTCTCTCTCTCTCTCTCCACACACACACACACACACACACACACACACACACACACACACACACACACACACACACACACACACACACATCAAGTCTCTCTTCATATGAGATGATGAAATAGTTGGAGAACTCAGGAAATCTGTTTCTGGTGAAACCGTTCTGGACTCAGAGATAACTGAGCCCTTGTGGGGGAAAGAAGAAAGCCCACTGGCTTTAGAGTCAAGTTTCCTGTGTGACTCTGTGTGTGTGTGTGTGTGTGTGTGTCCTGTGTCACTGAATGTGTGTGTGTGTGAGAGAGAGAGAGAGAGATCATTTTATAAGACAGTTTTAATTAAGAATAGATTTCTTTTTGCTCTCTTTGCTGATGTAAAGTTTCTTAATACAAAGATGTGTGTTGATTGGTCTTGTGTTACTGTACTCTTGTGAGTCCTTCTAAGTGTGTGTGTGTGTGTGTGTGTCCTTTCCCCCACCATCATTAAAACCTTAATTTTCCTGCTTTCATTACAATATATTAATCATCTTTATGTGAAGGTGTGTTTTCTACCTGCTACCACTGTATATTTTACTTACTTTTTTTAAGTGTGTGCACAAACCTGATTCCCTTTTTCTCTTCTTTTTCCTATTCCCCCCCTTTCTTTACCTGTCCTTTCTTCCTCATCCTCCTCTTCTTGCCTTCTCTCTCTTCTTGTCTCCTCTTTAACCATTATCTCTCTCATCTCCCTTCTTGTCTTTCCATTTCCTCTCTTCCTTTTCCTACTTACTCTTTCCTCTCTCTCTCTCTCTCTCTCTCTCTCTCTACTTCCCTCTCCTCTCTTCTTTCTTTTTCCACTCCCTTCCTCTTCTCTCCTGTCTTGTGTCCTCTCCTTTCCTCATCTTTCTCCTCTCATCTTCCTTTTTCATCTCTCCCCCTCTTCCCCCTCTCCCTCCTTCCGCCTCCTCTTCCTCCCCCCTGCAGGGCTGCTCGTCTCCCATCGTGGTGAAGTTCGCCGACACGCAGAAGGACAAGGAGCAGCGGCGTCTGCAGCAGCAGCTGGCGCAGCAGATGCAGCAGCTCAACAGTGCGACCACCTGGGGGAGCCTGACGGGCCTGGGCGGCCTCACCCCGCAGTATCTGGCTGTAAGGAGAGCCGCCGCGTCGCCCACCTCCACCATCACCTCCTCCACCCCTTACTGCAGCCCCATGGCCAACGCCGCCGCAGTCAGTGCCCCAATCGAAAACATCCAACTTGAAAAATCCCCAAATACTCTCACTGGCCCCCTGTTTCCCCCTCCCTTCTTCCATTTGTTCTGTAATTCCTTCTTTAGCCCTGTCATTGTTCCTCTCCTCCATCCTCCTCTTGGGATTGCAGCTTAGTGAGGAAATGAGGTCTCTGAATGGGGTTTGTGGCTGCCAGAAGCCAATAATATATGTTTAATATCTCCACCCAGAAAAAGATGCACTAATACGGCGTCTTTTCCTGTATTTCACTCTTATTTAGACCATGAAAAACTGTCATGAAATTCTCAATGCAAGGACAAATTCGAGATTTCAAAGTAATAATCAATCATCAATAACAATTTTGTAATCTTTAGCTCCTAAAAACTATCCTTTATGTGCTACTAATTTGCTACAGCAAATACCTTTTTGAAAGAAATGTAATTCTGCCTGGATGAAATTGTTAAATAATCTAAAATTATAGTGAGGAGATGTTTTTTTAATGAACATAAGTCCAAACATTCACTGATTGCATTTTCCACTTGTTTTCCCTGTCAGCTAAAACATGAGAAACATCTTCTGCTTATGTTACGGCCACTCAAAGCAGTCTCTGTTAAAGTTCGGGAAAGATTGTGGTCATGGGACAGGAGTTATTTGCTCTTTCAATATTTAACCAAACCCACAATCTTTCCCTAACCCTAGCCAAAGTGGTTTTGTGGCTTTAACCTAACAACATGACGGATGAGAACTCCAGCCGTCTGCCCTTTCAGTCTGCTACAAGAGCGTAGCACTTTATGGACTGAAAAAGTGTCCAGTGAACATTTCCTTCAAATATGTACTTGACAAAACCATTTAGTGGTATATAAATATAATTTACAGACCTCTTTGGACTTCTTTCCTATGCTGCAAATGTTCGTTGTTCAATGAAAACTACTGCATCTCCAGATTTGGTTCACCTAAACTGAAGTAGGTTTTTTTTATTGTTTGACACTTGTTAAGCTAAATAAATCATTTAGAAACCCATTAGATGAACAGCACAATGTTGTTCTAACAAAGCTAAAAGCAGCAAGGTTTCTTTCAGCTCATGAAGAATTTACCTTTTGGAGATACATGGTTTTCACAGAACAGCGACAATGGAAACAGTAGCTGAGAGTGTTTACAGTAATTGTTTGAATGTATTTTGAAGTTGTGGTAAATTTAAATTTTGTGTGGGATTAAACAAATATATTATTTGGCTTTGGACAGTATGGAACCCCTGGGAGTCCACTGATCCCCAGTTTGAGAAATCCTGCCGTAGAGGCTCAGGTGCACAACATCTGAGCCTCTCTGGTTGATGTGTTGATTATTATTTGTTATAAAGTAGGGTTCAGAAACCTCATTCTCTCCCTTTGTCCCTGCAGTCCTTTGCCTTTCCAGAGCCTCATACTCACAGGACTCCTCTTGTTGAAAGTCTCGGCACTAACCTTTGACTCATTGCTCTTCAGTTTCTAAATTAACTGCCCAAAAAAAAAAAAAAAAACACATCTCAAAAGTCTGGGATTCGATTCTCAATTTGTTTGATCCTAAGTGCAATTAGCACCTGTCTATTCAATGAGGGAAAACAGAGCTCAGACAAACATCCCTCCTTTACTGGATATTGATTTATTTTTGGAAAAAAAAACATTTGAGATAAAAACTGTTTTGTGAATTGGGCTCCCAGATTTTTATGCTCTTTCAATCCCTTTTCTCAGTCTTTTGAAAAGATTAAGCTCTATTCTGGAAGAAGAAAAAAAATGACACACACAATAGAAACAAGATGTTAATTTGCTGTTAATTCAAGTCTTTGAAGGATGAGTTTTTGACAGCATCAGTATTCCACTTTTGTTTTGGAATCTAATTAGTCGGCTAGATTAGAGCTTTCATGCTCAACTTGTCTGGAAGAATCATGGTGGAATACAAACAGTGTTTGCTTAGAGGAGAGATCAAACTATATTAGCAGCTCATTTACTCATCGAGCACTGAGGCAAAAACCACATTGCTAACCCGCTCATTACGAGTTTAGCTTCCCAGTGTAGCATTGTATAGACATGTATTAAGCTTTCGTTATACACCCAGCTCACTTTGTTTCTCCCTCTTCTTTTTTCTCTGACTTCTCCTCCTCTCTCTTTCTTGCTTTCTTTCTTTATTGCCATCAGTTGCTTCAGCAGGCAACCTCCTCTGGAAACCTAGGAGCCTTCAGCGGGATCCAGCAGATGGCCGGTGAGTCAAAAAACAGTTGATACACTCCCCTGAAACCACGATATACGACGGCAATAGACTCTTTGTTGCGCCTCTCTGTTATTTTTTTTTTTTCACAGACTTCTAAAAGAGGACCAAAGAGCATAACAGATGAACTCGCGTGGCAGAGTAAAGAGAGATCTTTGCCCTGAAGATTTATTAACTGTTGCTAAGAATTGTCTTGATCTTTTAATGAGGCCAGACAAGAGTTGTGCCCTGGGCGTGTAACAGTGGCACCGTGGCTTTGCAGGGATGGATGAATCAGAGAAAGGAGGGAAGAAAGAGAAAAAGGGAGTGGAGAAAATTGTTTAAAGTGGGCTCCTTTGGTGGATATCTTGTACTGCTGGCTGGCGCCATCTACTGCTCTCTCACTGTGGAGGGTCCCTGTGATTTTTCATCTGCATCTCCATAATTCCTTTCAAGAGTATCTGCAGGTTCAAGGCAAACTCAAGCCTTTTATAGATACAAGACCTCAGTTTAAAGCCAATTTAAAGAAGGAAATAAATAAAGCCAATAAAATCAGCCTATTGTGCATTAAATGCAGCCAGTGAATGTCCTCAAACTCTAAATGGGTTGAATACGAAAAGGACACAAGGAAATAGGAAATAAAGTGGTAAGGGACAGTCCAATTCTCCAAAGGGAAGCTGATGCAATAAAAAATGCATATTGTATTAACCCAGTTTTGTGTTAATCTAAGCCTTGAGCATACCAAGAAGGCTCCTATTAAATGTTGAACAAGATAAAATCTCTGTCTTTAAGAAATATAATTTTAGGGCTTTAAATTTTGGTTATTTAAGAGTTTCAGAGACCCGTGGATACTCGCTCCTCATCATCTCTCTTTCCATTAAACTCTTCTCCTCTTTCTCACCACTCTCTTTTCTCTTTTCTATTTATTTTAAGCCTCTTTTTGCAGATACTCTTGCACCTCCCACCCTCTTCAATCACAGTTTCTTCATCTCACCTTTACGCCTCCTTCCAGCCTTCACACTCTGTCTGTTCTTCCCTCCTTCTCTCTTCTTCTCCTATTCTTCTGTGAGTTTCTTAGTAAGGTGTCAGCTCTTAATTTTACGCTGTTTAGTCAGTTGACGCGGGGAAACAGGATAAAGAAATTGCCAAGAAACAATAACAGCTCAGAGTGTGATGGGAGTTTTTTAAAGTGGCGAGCCCCGTCATGTATCCTCCAGTTTTTCTGTCGCGTTCCCTTGAGTTACAGTGCCTCGCAATTTCCCTGTGGCTGATTTAAATTTTTGCTCACTCTGCTGTTGAGCTCAAACACACATTTCCTTACAAACACACACTCGCCCGGATAAATAGGCTCTGGGATTTGGAACCGAGGGTGAGTAACGGTGTCTGAATCTGGAGATCTGTTGGTCCTCCATCTGCGATAGAGAGAGAGAGAGAGCGAGTGAGCATTAGTGATTGGCAGGAGATGTGACACAGCTGAATGACATCTGGTCCCAGTCTTTAACACGAGGAGCTGCAGAGCTGAGAGGCTTCAATTACACCAATGAGCATTCAATTAGACGCAGCCAACGCCAGCCTGGTGCAGCCCAGCTCTGCCATACAGGCTGCACGGAGCGCGCTCACACACACACACACACACACATACACAAACACACACACACACTCACAGTCGCTCGCACACTCACGTACCATCTGCACAGCCCGGATACTCCGACTCTGATGTGGGAAGTAGATTGTATTTGTCTCATACTGTCTCTCTTTCTTCGCCTTCTCTCTCTTTTTTCCCTCTCTGTGCGGCTTCAGCTCGACTTTATTCCCCTCTAACCCAGTTATTTTTATCTCCTGCCTGCTCCCTTTCTCCTTATAACTGTCTCGAAAATGTATGTTCAATGAGGCAGATAACCTTTGACAAATGCAAGTAAGAATTGGTGTAGAGCTACTTTGAGAGAGAGGGGGCGAAAAGAGGTAGCATGGAGAGCGAGGGGGAGAGAAAGAGAGTCGCTGTGGAGTTGTCTTTGTCGTCAGCTTGGAGAAAAGAAAGGGATTGGAAAAATAGACAAGAAAAGAGGAAAAGAAGAAAAAGAGGGTAAGGAAAAGATAGAAGAGGTAGGAAAGGAAAAAGGAAAAAGAAATGAGAGGATAAAAGAAAAGGGGAAAAAAGAGGAGAGAGAAATTGGAAAGGAGGAAATTAATAAAAGGGAATGAGGAGGAATTAGGCTTGGAAGATGTGGGCAAAGGAAGGAAGGAAGGAAGGAAATAAAGAAAGGAAATAAAAGAGAGTGAAAATGGGAAAAAAAAAAAAAGGAAAGGACACAAAGGGAAACACAATGGTAAATAGGGGATGGAATGGGTAAAGGGAAAGGAAGGAAAAAGAAAGTGAAGGAAATTAAACAAATGGTAAAACAGGGGACCAAAGGGGGGGAACAAACTACCAGGAAAGAAAACCAGAGGAAATTAGAGGAAATGGGATGGAAGGGAAATGAGACAGACAAAAGAAAAGGCAGAGCAAGGAAGCAAAGACGATGAAAAGAAAGGGAAAGAAAGTGACAATGGGAACGGTCGAAGGGTCGGGAAAAGAAAGAGGGAAAGGTCAAATAAATGAAAGGAAAAAAGGGGAAAAGATAGAAAAGCAAACATGAAAACTGAGAAGACAAGAAAAAGAAGGGGAAATGAATAAAATAAGAAGGGGAGGTGAAGGAGAAATGAAGGAAAGGAAGAACAAAGACAGGAAAGGCAAGGAATAGGAAGCTGGGAGTGGGAAGGGAAGACAGAACAGGAAATTAAAGGGGAAAAGAAAGGGAAGGACACAACAAAAATGGAAAGAGGCAGGGAAAGAAGAGCAGAGAAAATGAAAGGAAAAAGGAGGAAATGGAAGAGAAGAAATTAAGAAAAGGAAGGGGAGGCAAGATTGGTAAAAGAAGGAGGAAAAGAAAAATACAATGAAGAGGATTAAAGGAAAACAGGAAGTGTAAAAGGAAGGAAAGGAAGCAGGGAAAAAGAATAGGAATTAAGCAGAAGGAATACAGGAATAGGGAAGGCAGAAAGAAAGAGATAAACAAAGAGATAAAGGAAATAAATAGAGAAAAAAAGACAAGGAAAACAGGAATGAAAGGAAGGGCAGCCAAGGTGAAGGAAGTGAAGGGAAGACAATGACTATTTGTTTGCACCGTGAACGCACTGAAGTGGCATTATCCCTTAAAGGTGTGTGCGAGCAGCTCTGAGCCTCTGTGGTCAAACCCGTCCCCTCAGCCGCTTTCCAACCGTACCGAGGGAGAAAGGGCAGTGAAATAAAAATCTCCTTTTATATTATAATAAGGAGCCACGAAGGAGAGCTCTTACGAGCAGCCTTCTCCTCGCTGAGCAGCACCAACACTGACACTGCCTCTCGTCTCGCTCACGTGGTGCATCTCCTGCCTTTTACAAATGAAAACACTGTCTGAATTAGTGCGAGAGCTGAGCACGCGGGCGCAGACGGTGATGGAAAGAACGACAGCGACGGCTGTTTTATTCTGCCACCTTTGCGTAGGAATAGGAATCCATTTTGAGCTTTTGATGGATCACAGAAAATTGGAGAAAATCGCTCTGAAAACAAGATTGGTTCTGGCTTCCTTGCCGCTCGTAGGTAAGCACAGACGAGTAAAAAAAAATAAATAAAACACACACAAATATACATGCTCATTACTGCAGGCACACACGTTTAACTTTTTTTTTTACGTTTTTCCACTCACACACACTTCCTGCTGCAGCAGCTCGTCACGACAAGCTCAGAAAAAAAGAACACTTAGAAACTGGCAGTGGTCTTCTTTTTTTTTTTTTTCCCCCTTCTGTATTTAATTAACCAATCAGAACTGTGAATCCCAGTGATGAATCCAGCCATCTGTTGTCATTGGCTGCGTTCAGTTTGGTTGTCTGGGTGAAGGATATCTCTGTTTGGATGTTACAACCTGAAACCATTCACCACCACGGTGTCAAACAAGATGGATCTTCTTCATGGTGTCTTGTTTGTGTGTGTCTATTTGTGTGTGTGTGTGTGTGTGTGTGTGTGTGTGTGTGTGTGTGTGTGCGTGAGTGTGCGTGAGTGTGTGTGTATTTCCATGGTACTGTATATACACCCAGACTGTATATACGACACATACACCTCACATTGACAGTGTCCACCCTTTTAACTTTAAATCTAACAAGCTCATGAGTCAGAGGAAGTTCCTCGCTGGTAAGAACAACTCTGGTGACTGATTCTGTTTGCTTTATGAGGTTTTCCTCTGATTGCCTCATAATGTTCACACACTTGCACAAACACACTCGCGGAGTGAGGTGAAAGGTGGAGTTGTGCTCACAGAAGGTGTTTTATAGCCTTTGCTTCACCATCATTTAGGTGTTGGCATGTAGTCATTAATTATGCTTAAGTACAGGCCTGTATGCTAATGCCAGCAAGCAGATTAACAGTGAGGGGAGTTCAGCCTGCAGGTGGCCTGAACTACAGTGCGACTGCTGACTGGGGCACAGCGTAATGTTTAGTAAAAAGCTAAAAGTCTCAATCATGTGCCGTTGTGATTAGAGCCTGACTGATGGACAGGAGGCCGACGTCTGCTTATTACAGATATATATATATATTAGTACAGGAATGTTTAATTAAAGTATAAAGTACAGTGTCTTTGTTGTATTTGTGTTACATTACAGTTATTCTCCATGTAGAGTAATGTTTACTGTTAAAAATGTGCGGTTTTCATGTCATTTAACAAGAAATAGTTTATAGTTTTTTGTTGTTAAGTGTCTGAAAGAAAAGAAAAGGATGGGAAAGGAAAGGAGAAGTAGAAAGAGGAAAGAAAGGCAGGTAAGAAATTGGGAATTGAAAATACATTTTTTTTTTAATGAAACAATTTATTATTAAATTAAGAAGTTTATGTAACCATCAGAAATTAGCCAGGGTTATCCTAAAAGGCTAATTAAAAAAGGCACTCTATGTACTTAAAGGCACCGTTTTATACTCTTAAATATCAATATGGGCCTTAAACGTGTCACAGCTCTAATCATGACTTTTATTTACCAATTATTCTTTTCGTTTAAAGCACATCTTAGCTGAGCAAAGAACGAACTCCAGTCAAATCTCAAGGTCTAGATAACTAGGAAGGTTAGTTTCATTAGCTGTCGTCTTTTTTTTTTTTTTTTTTTTTGCTTCGCTTAGACAGAAAAATACAGGTTGAACTAAACCAGTGAGAATATTTCTGCCTCAGAGAAATGCACCAAACCTAAACACTACAACAGCTGCTTTTACTGATTCAAACACATGTGGGACTTATTAGCGAAATCAGCTGCTGCAGTGTTTGCCTTCACACACTGCAGACTCCTCACAGGGGCGAAGATACGTTAAAGTTGTCCAACGATAGAGCAGGAAAGACACACAGCACATCCACACACACACTCCTCTTTTATTCCTGCGCACCTTTGGGACAGCAGGAAGCTCACTCGTGTTCAGTACTGTCCTCTGGTGCACTGTCCCGGTCCAGCCAGGCGGCCCAGCCACGCCTCAGCCTCGCTGCCCAGGTTTGACACCACCCTCTCTGGCTCCTCTCTCCAGGTATGAGTGCTCTGCAGTTGCAGAACCTGGCCACTTTAGCAGCGGCGGCGGCGGCGGCCCAAAACTCAGCCAGTCCCTCCACCGCAAACCCCCTGTCCTCCAACGCCGCCTCCCTGGGAGCGTTGGCCAGCCCAGGTAACACCGCAGCCACTCAGGTTGGGGGGTCCGACGCCGAGGGGGCCAACGCCTGCCTACGTCCTCCGCTCTGCACCGTTACCATTACCAGTGTTGTCGCCCCCCCCCTCCCCATGATTCCCGGCACCTCACCGCCCACCGCCATCACTGAAACCATCAACCAATCATCGTTGCCGAAACATGCCCATCTCCATTGTTCAGATCTTCGTCAGTGTTGTTGACCTTCTTTCCTGGCACATTGCCGTGGTGTGTGTGTCCACCGTCTCCGCTTTCCAGACCTCCATCTCAATAGAGAAACCATGCTGTGTTGTTGTTGCTGCGCTGCCTACCTTTGCGTCCCCCCCCCTCACACCTCACGTCCTCACCATGTGGCCCAACAACCATGATACACGCACTGTATATGTGTGCGCGTGTGCATGTCTGTGTGTTCTGTGCTTTAATGTTTCCGTCCGGTATCAGATCTGTGTGGTTTTCTTTGTCTGTGCCTAACCTCACCAGCTCTAGAGACACGTGTAGACATTTTTTTTTTTTTTTCGGCCGTAGTTGTTGTGTCCCGGAGGACGGCGTCTGTTTGCACCTGTATGTGTGTGTTGGTGTTTTGTCTCTGCTCATGGCTGGGGGGGGGGGGGGTCAAAAAACTACCAGGTTGATGTCCGAACTCGGCTCAGGTTAAATATCGCCACCTTCAGATTCTCTCCTTCCTTTTTTGTTTTTTCCCACACTGCCTCATTCTCCCCTCCCCCTCCTCCTCCTCCTCCTCCTCTTCCTCTCCGTGTGTTCCTTCTCGTTGCCCTCGTCTTTTGCTGCTGCCCTCCTTTTGACAAGCTCCCTGTTTCTGCTCCATCATTCTCCCCTTTCATGTCGGCTCGGCCTCGCTCCAGCAGCCGTGGTTTTGCTGTCTCTTTTGGAGCGCACTCCCAACAGAGCATGAATATGAAAAGCTACCTCTCCCCCCCCCCCACACACACACCTCCTCACCCCCACTCCTCCTTACCCCTCATTCCCCCCCCTTCTCTTCTTCCTCCTTCACGTTAACACTTGCGCCGCTTCCATCCCACTTCCCTGCCTCCACCGAGCCGGTTCGCACTGGCATGAATGCCCGTTCTTGTCTCGTCTCTCTTCCTTCCCTCGCTTATTCTCTCCATACTCTTCACCTTCTCCCTTATTCCAAGCCCTCTCTCTTTCTTTCTCTCTGTCTGACTCTGAATGTCAGTCCAACCTTGAATAGTACACACTCAGGTTGAGCTACTCAGCGCTCAGTGTGAATGAGTGGCGCTATACTGCATGAGTAAATGAAACTGAAAACGTCACACCAGTTTGATAAATATAGACAGTTCTGCATGGAGACAGGCCAGCGTTTTTGTTTTTGCACCATGTGCCGACATAATGCTCCCTTTATCACACCATTTCTTAATATATTCAGCGGCAATCCTGCTTTGTTGGAATCGCTTTGATGAGATCAAGGGTAAATTAATAGATTCAATCTTTTTTTCTTTTTTTTTTGTCTGAAAACAGAAAAAGGTTGTGAGCTTTGTGCACCATACTTCCCACCATCTCACCCACCACCACTGACATAGTAGTTCATGTATGGCACACATTTCACATCGGTGTGTGTTCAGGTGTATGTGTGTGTGTGAGTTTGTGTCCACCGTGTTGAAGTTTTGTGTGTTTTTTTTTTTTTTTGGTGTCCGTGACAACACGAGCAACTGATTTAAAGCCAACTGTAAATAAGAAAGATTTGCAAAAGTTTCACACTCTCAACATTTCCGAGAGGTTATCTGTAAGCATAATAAGTCTCTTCTGATTGTGCTCTTGCCTTTCTGTACATATGTCTGCTTTTTTTGGATGGTCCTTGTGTTTTTTCAATGCAAATATAGCATCACCATGAATGCAGCAATATTCCAATTTACCTGCTTTTGTGAATATATTCCTGATCTAAACAAACCGTAGATGTTTTCATCTCCATATAATTTTGCTCATGAGGTTTTTATATGTAGGGTCAAGGTGCTGCAACTTGTTAGATTAATTAAAGGTGCTACTTTTAATATTTTTAAGCTTACCATCAAACTGACTGGGACACACCGTTAAAGATCCATAAAAGAAGACCACTGTGGAGAAAATTGGTTGCCTCAAGATCACATTTCCCTTGAACTCCAGTGCTTGGTGTTTCTAGCTTTCTCTATTCACACTGGCTCTACTTATACTCCACACATATCGTGGAGTGATTTCTCCATTGGCCTCCCAGCATTAGTCTTTATCATCAAAAAGCTTAAGCTCTGTTTGCACTAGAAGGATGATGGCCAGTTCGCGCAAATCTCCGAACAAATCTGACCAGACAAATCTTGGAAACTAGAAAACATGCACAGAGTGTGCAACCTCTGCCAAGGCTGAAATATAGCTCTCTGTGGTTACGTTTTAATCGTGGAAATTTTTGGTTTTTAATCCAGGATTTGGATCTGCATCAAAATACACATTGATGGTGCTTTGTTTCAATGCTGCTGTAGCACTTCCGAAATGGGAGGTGCCATCAAGTTCTTCAAATTCAATTCAAAAGGGTGGAAAATCTGTTAGGGTGAAAAGGATGCAGATTTCCAGATTCATCTTCAACCTTTAAAACCCAAGAAAACTGAATTTTTCTGTTACATCACGCTGTTCAGTTAGTCAGTGCGGAGTGACTTATACGATGTTTGGTCTATAAATTGGTCACACGGTGGTGCTATCTCCACCTTTTCCCACTGTTCATCAATTTCCACCAATTAAATTAATCAAATTTAAGTCCGACAGCCTGCTAACTTACAAACCAAGAAAGCATTGAACACATAACCTCCTTCGTGGAGGTAAGAATGTAAAGGCAGCCAGTCTTCTCAGCAGTGCTTTCAGTTGTTTGCAGTAAATATTTCAAAATTATGACGACGTTAGATGGGACAGGTAGCACTTTATATAAACTCAATAAAGGCCTATCTTAAATAGCCTGAGAATGTAATGTATTTAGTAAGAAAGCCTCTATACGTGGGACTTTGAGGTTTGTTAAATGCTTGTATAACATGGCTGTTTCTTTGTCTCCTACTTTCCCCTTCACCTCCGCCCTTATCCCTCCTTTCTCTTTTCACTCTCTTCATCTTGTTCTTCTCCTTCCCTCCTCCCCTCCCATTCCTCCTTCCTTTCCTTTTCTTCTTTCTGCCCCGGCAGCAGGCACCACAGCCAGCTCCAACGCCGGTGCCATGAACTCTCTAACCTCTCTGGGCACCCTGCAGGGCCTGGCAGGCGCCACTGTGGGCCTGAACAACATAAATGCACTAGCAGGTAGCATCAACAGTGAGTATTCACCCTGTCATCAGCCACTCCACCTTCACCTACACCTCCACTCCGGACCATCCACATCCAACAGCAGCATCACTACCACAACCTGTGAGTTGATGCAGAGAGACGCCAAACATTAGAGTTTGATTGAAATGGGTTTTTGAAGGCCGTTGCATATGATATTTTAATTAAAACTGATAATATCTCATATTTAACCTTTTAATTTTGATAAATTTAAAGACAAAAAAAAAGACTTGTCAATAACACTTACATTAAAACCTGCAGAATTTGCAGTACTATAGTGTGCTATAGTATGTTTAATGTCATTAAACAAAGGCTGAGAATATAAAAAACCCATCTAGATGTCCAGCTCTAATGTCTGTGGATGTACAGAATTGTATCATACCTACATGGAAACAGTTTATACTTTAGGTACATACTTTAGATATAAACTCACAGGTTGAAATTGGACAGTTGGATCAGTTACTTAATTTTAGACATTAAAGTCTATATTTTACAACAATGAAAGATGGAATAAGAGAAATGTATAACAAATAATGATGAACAGATGAAGAAATACATAAGAAATGTATTCAGAATGTATATATTTGTAGACAAATGGACAACAAACACCAAACTACAGTCTGGAGTTTGGTTCCTCTGGTCGTCTCTCTGTGTCTCACTTTCACTTTATAATAAATTGTCCTCACTCTCTCTACTTCATTAACTCATCTGGTCACATATATTTCATCCATTCATCCATCCATTCCTCCATTCTCGCCATCCGCTTCCTGGTTGTGTCCTGGGTTATGCTTGCTGTAAGAGTGCTGCGGTGCCGTCCGGGCAGAGCTGACGTGCTGCTGTCACCTCACGCGTCTCTGTGTGGGACAATGTTGTCTCACATTGTGTTGTTTTGTTGTGTCATTTGTTGTGTCTTCTGTCATCTGTACAAGGGGATTGAACATTTAGAGGGTTGCAAGGGAAGAACTCAAATTTTATTTATTTTATGTCTTCAAAATAAGAATTTGATCATTTTTATGTCAAAATGTAACTTCTGTTAAAATACAACATTTGACAAATTTCCCTTCCAGTACAGACAAAATATTGTAATTTTCATGCCAAAGATCTTATATCATATTTAAAAGAATCATTTACAAATCAAATTTTATTTTGATTTTGTGCGAGAAAAACATGAAATCAGACCACTTTAATCCAAGAAAATACAAATCTGGCAAATTTCCTGCCCAATAAATACATATCTGTTTATTTGCATGCCAAAAATACAAATTGTGGCAATGCCCAAAAAAAATATTTTACCATTTTCATACACAAAACATTCCAACCGTGGCCGTCTTTATGCTAAAAGAAACTCAAATATTTATATTGGTTTAATGCTGATTAAATACAAAAGTTGAAATTTTTATGCCAAAAACAAAACAAAAGACCTTTTGTATGTCAATAAAATAAAATAACAATTTTCGTGCCAAAAACTTATCAGGAAGATAGGAAAAGACGATATGGGCTAACTAGTGTTAGTGTTATGATGGCAGTTGTAGGGCAGCTGGTTTAGTAGTCAGGTTTTACTTCAAAGTGTGGTCCATCCAGAGCAGATACACTTGTTTCTATCCGCGTGTGAATTGTATCGACTACACAGTCTGTGTGGTCCACCGGCGTCTGCCGAGCTGCGTGCTGTGTGTCCTGCCTTTGACCTCTGGGAAGACGGGGCTGGGATCTTAATCAGCGCTGTTATTACAGCAGAGATCCTGTACTACTGGCCTCTTCCACCACATTATTCTCCTCTGACCTTTACCGCTCCTCGGCTGGAGTAGCTGTATCCGCGGTGTAAATCATATACGCGTCTACTCGAGCACACACAGGTACAGAAACACAGGACATGCGGGCACACGCGCATACACACACCTTTCAAACAGAATGGGCTACTTTCTTTTTGCATCCCATTTTGTCCCAGCTAACCCATCCCTCCTCATTGTGTGCCCTCCTCATCCCTCCACCCACCACCGACCGCCCTCATTTAAACACATCTAGGCTTTAATTGAATTGCAAAGGTCACCAGTGCAATTATTCCTGAATAAATGAGTGACCTATAATCCACAGCTCTGCGGTGATAATTTATTTCACTGTGTCTGACGGTGAGGCGACAGGACGCCGAAGCCAATGTCAGACCCCCCCAGACAAGTTGCCCTCCGCCGTGATATTAAGCCGTTACAAGCAGCTAATGAGTGTTACCGCTGTGTTCCTTCACTTTTTAAACTCAAACCCCCCCTTCCTTCCCTCCTCGCTCCACGTGCCTGTCTCACACCCAAAGTGAGACGTCACAGGCTAGGAAAGGACATCAAGTCACGTCTCGCTGTTGATGTCTGACTCTTCTGTAGGGTGGATTATAAAGACAGACCATTATGGGATTTCACATATCAGTACTAATGCAGATTATCTGTCAGTACCTTTTTTTTGTCATTTTATTAGGGTGTCCTGGACCAACTGCTTTTATATTTTGGGTTATTTGTTATGTGGATGAATCGATTCATTTGTAGAAGACAAAAAATAAGACATTAAAACTGAATAATTCAGACATTAAATGAATAAGATGAAAGACAAAGTCAAGAAAAATGTACTGCTGATGTGATAATAGCCTAAAAGTTTAATTAGAAGAGCCCTTAATTTAAAGCAAGAGTTTGCAATTAATGCCTACTAGAACCTCTAAAAGTCACATCATGTCAGTTAAATGCGTACACAAACAGAAATATTAAACTTGTATTAGTCCCTAGTCCCTAAGTTTAGCAGGCTACTACACTACCCATAATTCAAATGGATGGCCACTTGTCTTTAAAATTAAAAAATGTTAAAATTGGGACCCTCGTCACGTCCTTCAGCAGGTCTTCTTAGTGACCAGTGCTGCAGCTAATGTAGTAAAAGGAGCCAACAGCTAATGAAAATACACCAACACAAGAACAGTTTTAATGACCAAATGGGGGCCAACTGGAGAAAATGTGTCCCTTTAGGAGGCCCTGCATTACTAGCCCCTGTGAGTTTGTTTTCATGTGATCATTCTGGTGTTTTTCATTTTTGGTCTTCAGTGTTTTGTAGACACTACTGTTTTCTTAGTGTGTTTTTGTGTGCGTGCATTGCATCGCTGCGTGCTTCTGATCTGGAGTACACCTGTGTGCAGCTCTGGCTGTCATCAGCTACGCTCATACTGTACTTTATTGTGTTTAAACTAATACTCTGTGTGTCCTGTGCTCTGACGTGTTAGCTGTCGTGTTTCGTTGTTAGACGCAGTATTGATGTGTATTTTTGTGTGTGACGTTGACATGTGTGTAACTTACAGTGTTGTCTGTGTGACCGTCAGTCTGTGTCTGTGTGTGTGTGTGTGTGTGTGTGTGTGTGTGTGTGTGTGTGTGTGTGTGTGTGTGTGTGTACGTCTTGTAACAGTCGTGTAGGATTTTGTATGTGTGTGTGTGTGTGTGTGTGTGTGTGTTAGTGTGTGTATGTGTGGTAAAAACACAACCTTCAGTGGGAGCGCTAATGAGTAAGTGCACTCTTCTTTCTTTATTGTTGGGTTTTATGTAAAGTTGCTCAAATGCTCTCAGGTATGGCGGCTCTTAACGGAGGCCTGGGCGGCGCAGGGCTTACCAACGGGACGGCGGGCACCATGGACGCGCTGACGCAGGCTTACTCAGGGATCCAGCAGTATGCCGCCGCAGCGCTGCCCACCCTCTACAGCCAGTCCCTGCTGCAGCAGCAAGGGGCTGCTGGCAGCCAGAAAGAGGGTCAGTAGCCTGGGGCCATCTGTCTGCACATCACTGCTGCTCAGTGGGAGTTCGATTATTTACAGCAGTTCTTCACATTCAGTGTTTCCTCCAGGATTTATTTTGTAGAACAGCAAATAGACAGCATGAGGCTTTTAAACTCCAGCTGAAACCTAGGATGATTATGACTGTGATTTAAAAAAAATTAACTCTTAATAATATAATATGTAGGTAAAAGTGTAGTTGTGTTTATTTCTACAGTTAATATGTACCAAAAACACTTTTTTAAATGCAGCAGCACCCCAAATACACATCTGGATTTGAAGTTGTGTTTCCTGCTGCTAAAAGACACATTAAATTGACAAGAGCAGCTCAGAAAATGCTTCTAGTAATAGAAGATGATGAGAAACACAAATGAGTTGCTTATTTAGTAGAAAGAAAAATCTGAACTGGGTGCTTTTGTTGAAATTGGGGGAACATTTTGTATTGTTCATTTTTTATTTTTTTAAATTCAGATTAAACACAAAAAGTCCACTGTTTTTTGTCCCTGAAAGACTCCTCTTTAAAACACTCTTACCAAAAAATTACATTTGTTTATGAAAGCCATTTTTATGCCCATTCTCCGACAGAGAAAAACAGAGGAATTATTTTGTCTTATTTTGAAGAAACTTATATTACCTTAGTAGGACAAAATGTGTGTTTAATCAGACTTCTCTATGAATATCATCAATAATTTTGTTGATGATTGTACAGTTCATTGTGGAAGAGAAAATGTAAAATTGATCAGTCTACATATCAGCGCTGTTGCAAAGTACCACCTTCACACAGAGCCTGGTGGTTGAAGTTCAATTTTCCCAAAAGCTTTCAACAGCAGTGTTGAATACAAACCAGATGATGAAATGTAAAGTAAAAGAAAAAGAGCCACATACTGTTTGTTTGTCCACTTCTCATCTCTGCTTCCAACAAAGATCCATTGGTAAAGATGCTTTTCTTTCTTTGACAATCCATCCAGGGAGACAAAGATGTGACAAATACCAGGCTCCATTCTAGCTTCATTTAGCAGAAGAGAGCATATTTAATGATTCTAAGAGATCTGACCTCTGTGTGATAAAAGGGGGGAGCGACCTATGACCCCTCTTAAGAGAGACAACATGCAGCTGAAAGAATGAATGAATCAAAAGCAAGAGAACAGGGAACTACTTTTATTAGCAGAGAGCCAAAATATAATTATTAAATGAAAACCAAAAGCTTTCATCTTCGTTTAATGTTCAATACAATTGCAGAATGTTGTTTAAAAGCAATAACAAACTCAAGGTCATGCGATATTGTGCTAAGCGCTGTGCTTCAGCTGCGTTCCTATGACGACAGCACAGCGGTGCCAGTCGCCACAATGCAGCGCTCCCTCTCCTGCAGTTTTGTTTAATGAAAAACCACTCTGACCTTATACCCGCTCTGCATCTCGTCCCGCCAGGTCCCGAAGGTGCCAACCTGTTCATCTACCACCTGCCCCAGGAGTTTGGAGACCAGGACATACTCCAGATGTTCATGCCTTTCGGAAACGTGGTCTCTGCCAAAGTCTTCATCGACAAACAGACAAACCTTAGCAAGTGCTTCGGTACGACAGCAGTGCACGCGACAGTGTGTGCTCCCAAAGAATGGGAAACACACAGAAATGCCTGCAGTTATCTGTCCTTTTCCTTTACTAGCTGTGTCTCAGTTCAGGGGCTGGATTCTCTGAAGGATACAGCCCACGAAACTGGATCCTTCAGAGGAAATGAAGGCCAGGTTGAACATATCATGCTCATATCATAAGAGATTTATTTTACTGACTTGGCATTCACCTCAGCACTCAAGTCATGATTACAACTGAAAAACTTTAGATTTTTCTTGAATATTGGTACAAAACAATTCGGAAGTGCTTGAAAAGGCCAAAAAGTATGGGTGCCCTATGTCGACTAAAGACGGTTGTGGTCAAAAATAATGAATTCAGGCTCTCCTCATCAACTCATAAAGTCCAAAATATTGAGATGCACCACTATGAAGTTATCCTTAAATAGCCAGTGGTAGACTAAACATGTCAAGGCTGTTTATGTCTGCCTTACATTACCTGCAAAATAAAAAAAGTCTTTGGTAACACTTTGTTGCACAGGTCCCATAGTTTCCTAATTATTTTAGACAGGAACTAAATTCTTAAGAAGGTTCCTGAAAACCACCATTTGGCACTAATTATAAGAAAATTTGAGATGGTGTTCAGTTAATTACCAGCATAGCGTAGTGTAGAAAGTCTTCAGTGCACACCAGGTCAGCTGCGAACACGGACAATTTGTCCACAGGCAAGCGTACAGCTGTCAAATATGGAGAGTAAAGATTCCATTAAAACATGAATACTTACTTTGGTTTAAATGGGTTTTTTGCAGTTTCGAATATTTTAGCAGGTAGGTAAAGAAAATCTGCTGGAAATCAATAACTCCTCCGTATGAACTCAATACAACTCATTAAACTCAAATTACTGTCTCACCCCCATTGTCTCTATCTTCTCTTAAGATTAGTACCAAATTACATATTCTGTCCAGGAAACTTTGTGGTAAATTATTAAGAAACCACAGGAGCAACTCAAAATTCCCACTACCTGTGACTGACGAAAACTCAAATCCAAATACCTGGTGAACATTTTCTTGCACTTCCCTGCGATATTTCCAGACTTAACGAGTTGACAAGGATCATTTGAGTGCTGCAGGAAACAAATGACGGACTCCAAATGGGCTGTGAGACATTGAGGGCTGCAAAGGACACACTGGTTGTGTCCTCCAAATTCAGGCAAAAGAGGTTATGTTCCTCAGCCACATTTATGGAAGCTATTCAAATGGGACACGCCTGATTAAAAGGGAACCAACCCTGAACTGGGACATCAAGTGACTCTTTTCCACCTGGTATTAACGTTCTGACTGACAGAGCAAAAGAAAAGGCTTCAAATCCAAGGTTAAATGCATTTTAAGTGTACTGTAGATTTTCATTTGCATAGCATTTGTCCATGTTGACAACAAAACCGAACTATAATGCGTCTCTCCGTTCCTCGTGTAGCAACTAAGGGCAACAGAAATAAATCAAGCATGGATCCAGGAAGGAAAACAGAACACAAACAGACAGCAGTGATACTTGACAGAAAATGGATTGCGAGGATGGATGTGAGACAAGCGAGACGAGGAGTTTACTGTCAGTTTTAGAGGTTGCAGATATTACAAGAGGAAGTGAAGTGTGTACGAAGATGGCTTTGTGAGGGACAGCAAAAAATATAAAACACAATAAAACCTCAGTGTCAGTGCCACAACCATTATTTTGACATTTTGACCAACAGTGACCTTTTGTCATGTTGTCCGTATGATATTTTTGGAGCAGATACTGTGTCTCTTGTCAGATTCTTTTAGAAGTATTTGTGTCAGGATTGTACTGCAGTTATTTCGCAGACTCAGGATGCTTCAAATTGGAAGTGTCACTACAACCCCTCCCCCCCTTATTTGTTTTACTATAGCTTTATTCTTCAATCATTTTGTTGTTGCAACAACCCAGTTCCCCTCCAGGAGTCATTAAAGTTTAATCTTTTCTTATTGTGTACCAGGGGTGTATTTTAATGTAGATGTAAATGTAATCCGGCTCAATCAGATCTTGAGACACAGAAACACGGTGAGGGTCCCTCGCGTGGTATTTTAACACAAGTTTATTATAACATCTTAATTTTGAGACAGTATAGTTGCTGTAAATAAACAAGTGGAAGTCTGTTCAGCTGTATTTTATATCGTCAGATTTGGAGGGAAATCTGCTGCGGTGCTTCATGGCACAAAACAAAAAGAAAAGGAATGAAAACCTTTGATTGCAGAAGTGAAATTTTTTTGACGTTACACAGGAAACAATGAGGATTATGGAAGGATTAGGGAAATGTGGTCTTTATTTTGAGACTGACGCTAACATAAACAATACAACTGGAGGCAACCAACCATGGTCTCATTAAACCATCCATGCGTGCATTTTCTGCTGCTTATCCAGGTCTGGTTCACTAGCCTGTTTCCGGAGCTCCGACCGGGCCAAATCCAGATGAAACCTTTTCTAAGAAAGCTTATCATGGAGCGTTAGCAGACACAGGCTAGTGGAGACACTGTGGATATGCTGGCTAGCTACATGTTAGCACCTTTTACAATCCCGCTCATGCTGCTACTTGCTATTTCTTTTTGCTTGGTTAAATTCCTGCTCCTTGAAGAAAACACTAGATATTTCAGCATGATTTAGTGATATATCTTATACCAACAAAGCTTTATTAGTTTAATGATTCAATGTTTCAAAACGCTTCCTGTTGCGACTTTAATGCCAAGTGGGAAAAGGACCGGTAACTAAGCCACATTGTGACAATCTTTTCAGTCCATTTCCTTCCGTTTTTCACCAACTATCCACTTTTCTCTGGCGCCCCCCGCAGGCTTCGTCAGCTACGACAATCCAGTGTCGGCACAGGCAGCCATCCAGGCCATGAACGGCTTCCAGATCGGCATGAAGCGGCTGAAGGTGCAGCTGAAGCGCTCCAAGAACGACAGCAAACCGTACTGATCTTAGCACTAGGGTCTATCTGCTCCCCATGTTAGCACTGCTAGGGTAAGTCCCCCCCACAAAAAGAAAAAATGAAAATGAAAAAAAAAAAAAAAAAAAACAGCAAACCGAGCCACGACCTCTACACAGGGACTGGGGGAGGGTGGGGGGGGTTGATGGGAGGGAAGGGAGGGATGTGGGAGGGAGGGGGAGACGACCTACAACCACCCTGAGGGAGACACACGCCTTGTTTTGTTGTTTTTTTTTTTTTTTTACTTGTTTTTCTTGCTTTTTTGAAGATTTTTATGTTAGCTTTCAAGTATTATTATTTATTATAATTAATTTTTTTTTTGACACACATGAACGCTTCCATTACCGCCATTACTTTGTGCAATTTTTATTTTTATTTTTTTTTTTTTACAATGGAAGGAAGTAGCTATCTTGGGTAGCTTTAAAAAAAAAAAAAGTTTGTTTCAAAGTTTTTTTTCTTTCTCAGTGATTATTTATACATTTTTGAGGACTAGTTACAGTCAGAACCGAGGTAAAGACAAAGGAGCCATGATGATTTTTAATTTTTTTTTTCCTCTCTCTCGTTGTGAACCTGGCGACGGGTTCATTTTTTTGCGACACGCACGCAGATATGCACATTCGACCTTTGACCTCCGCGGTGTTGGTTGCAGGCCGCCGCTGCTTCTCCAAAACCCCTCTATGCCTGCTGGCAACCCGGGAGCAAAGGCTGCAAAAACGTTAGTGGCCTCTTTACATTATAGTCAGTGGCGACGTCAGCCTGCCGTACAGTTACAGTCCACCACCACGAGAAGAAAAAAAAACCACACACACACTCCAGCTACGTCTTATTATTTATGTGAAAATATAAAAACAGTTTTTTATTTCTCAGAAGGTGGAAAAAAAAAATTAGTAACTACTTTTCTGGGTCAGATCACATTGGTCTTTGTTGTGAAAGGGATATTACAGCATGTAGAACATTTTCAAAAACAACATCCAGAATTTGATGAAGGCTATAATAATAATTCTAATAATAAAAAAAAGAGTTTATGGGTTAAGGTGGTAACTGAAAATACTTGATGTTTGTTGAAAGATTTAAAAAAAATAATTCAAAGTACAGAAAGCCACAGGCCTGTAAATTTTATTTGTAAAAAAAGCAGTTCTATTTTTATACAACATTTTTACTGCCTCAGATGAAAAAAAAAAAGGATTTTATTTATTGCCTATCGTTAAGTTATTGGACTCCTATAAAGTATACAGCATCATTAAAGTAGACCCTTGTGGAGAAGTCTCGTGGAATTGGGTTCTCCGGTGTTTTTCATGTTTTTTCAGTGCAGAAACCACAATCACGACACGCCCGCCCCGCCCCCCCGCCCCGCCACCATTCGAGCCACACCGCCCTCCCTCCACCCCTCCCTGTGTCATTTATCCATTCACACACATCTCTCTGTGCTGTTCACCCATTCATCCATCCATCCATCGTCCACCTCTCTCTCTTTCCACCGCTCTCCCTCTCTCTCTCCATCCGTAGTGGGACTACTTTCTACCTTTTTCCTCGCGTTGTTTTTTCTTATTATTTTTCTTTAAAAACTTATTTTCACTTTTTTTTTTGTTTTCAGTGTTTTCCGTTTTTTGTTTGTTCGTAGCCCCCTCCTGCCCCTCCCCCCATCTTTCAAAGGATTAAAAAAAGATAAAAAGATTCAAAAGTAAGAAATGAAAAGACCGACCCCCACCCCCCTTTTTCCCCTCCCCTCAAAAAATAGGACTATTTTCTCCCAAATGACATCCATCTGGGATCTGATGGATAAAGCTTTGGGTGCTCTCTGTTTTTTGTGTATATGTGTGTGTGAATGAGTGTGTGTGTGTGTGTGTGTGTGTGTGTGTGTGTGTGTGTGTGTGTGTGTTGTTGCCTGTTAGTAAAGACCTATAACATTATATCATTTAAAAAAACAAAAAACAAAATCAAAGCTAAAAAATTGCCAATGAAATCAGTGAGTGGTGTTGCTGTTCTGCCGGTTTGCATTGTTGTTGTTGTTGTTGTTGTTGCTGTTGTTTGTTTGTTGTTGTTTGTTGTTGTTGTTGTTGTTTCTCCTGATTTTACAAAAAAAAAATGCTGTAGTGGTGTGGTGCTCTGGCTCTCTGTGTGTAACTCTCTCCTCTCCCCTGTTTTTTCTTTCCCCCTTTTAGAACAACCCATCTCCATGCCTGTTAGCTCATCGTTTGCCTAGCATGTCTCCGTGGCGTCCCCCCCCAAAAAAAAACACTTTAAACAAAACAAAAACAAAAAAAGATCCCCACCAAACAAAAAAAAGTGTCATCGTCCTCCTCCCCCGTCATTGTTTTTTCTGATGTCTTTTCCGAGCTCACCTGATCATAACCTGGTTCTCCTCCTCCTCCTCCTCCTCCTCCTCCTCCGCCGCCTACTGACCTTTTGAACTTTGAACTTTTAGCTTTTTTGGACTTTTTTGATTTTTATGATTATTTTTTTCTCTTTTTTGTTTGTTTGTTTTTTTGCATGTGACCTCATTTGGATCTGTTTTCCGGGAGGGTTTCAGGGAGGGAGTGAGGCGATGAGGGAGGGGTGGGTAAGAAAATGAATCAATGTGAAAAAGATATAAAGCTGCATTCATATGAAAAACAAAAAAGACTGCGATTTTTATGGAAAAACAAATGTTCTTTTTGGAGAAAAAAAAACAACAACCTGTGGCAAAGTGATTTCCATTCAGTATGTTTTCTTGCATTTTTGTTTTGTTTCTTCTTCTTCTTTATGTCAGTTTTTCTTTTCTTTCTTTTCTTCTTCATTTAAAGTAAACTTGAAAGTTCACCACAGGAATTGGCGCGTCATCTTGCTTCTGGCGCCGATGAGAAACAGAGCGCGGGCCAGAAGCAGTCCGCGCCAGTTTCTCTGAGAAATAAGACTACTTCCAAACAGTTTTGAGTAAAAACTGTCTGATCAATATTAGACTCTCTCAGAGCTCTCCAATGGTTTTTACATTTTTCAGGCAGTGTAAAGTTTTTTGATAAGGCCATTTTAAGTGGCTCTGTTTCTCATTCAAAGTCTATATATAGAACCACTTTTTTCTAGAGTAGTTTAAAGGTAAAAATAAAAAAGACATTTGCCCTGTTTGGGTGGGAGAAATGCTACCTACTTGTGTCACCTTTTGCTGAACTGACTCACAGATAGACAATCCGTGGTTTAAATGCACATGATGAAATGACCTATATTTTCTACTGTTTAAATGTATAGAGGAAAAAAAAATACTAAGATACCTGTAACCTGCGTTAACGTCGGTGCTTCTCGTGAGTTTAGTTGTGGTTTCATCACAAGTCTAACGGTCTTAAATGTTCTCATGTTTTTCAAGAGAAGACTAAAAAATCAGTTTACTTGAACAATAGACAAAGCCTTTCATATTACTATAATAGTTACTTTGTTGTTTTTCTTTCGTTTATTTTTTCTTCTTTTTTTAAGGAGTCCCTATTTGCTAAATTTCTTGTTGGTTAATTAGCTATATAAAATTCCTAAAAATATATATAAATATAAATATATCTATATATATATATAATGTCAGCTTGTGAAGCATCAATGTCATTATTATTTTATTTCTCTCGTGGGAAACAATATTTAGATGTGTTTTGTTGTTCAGCAAAATGTCTTATAAAGAAAAAAAGACAAGATCAGTGGAGTTTAGTGCCAAATTCTGAAGGTACTTCCTGCCTAGCGCGTCAGTGTATTTCTTGTGAAATTATTTGATAACATGGGTATTTTATTATAAGTGTTTTGTATGGATCCCTCATATTTAAAATATAGATTTAAAAAAGAGTTTGTTAACTTGCTATTCTGTGGTCTTGTTGCCTGAAAATGTCATGTTTGCTTTTTTCTTTGTAAAGATGTAAAAAAAAAAAAAAAAAAAAAAAGTGCCCATGTGTCATATATATATCTATATACACGCACACACGGACACACACACACACATTCTCGTGCAGACCTCACAGTTTACTTTCTTGTTGTGCATGAGAGCCCCTGAGTGTGAAAGCCTCTACAGCGACCGCTACCGCCCGCCAGCGTGCACGCGCACACTTTAAAAACACGCGCACACACACACAAGAATCACGCACTGATATTTTTAGCCATTGTACAGCCGTTTTATTCATCAAAGCCTTACCACAAATCTTTGCACTCCTGTTCTCTCTCTATTAGTATCTCGCACACACAGACACAAACACAGACATCAGGCTTCAGTATGTATTGTTTTGATTGTGTTTCTCGCACACTGTCCCGCTCCTCAGCCGGAGAAAAAAAAAATTGAGGTGAGAGTCATACGCGAAGCCTTATTTCTCCAAATCCTCTTATCCCCTTTGTTAGGTTCAAAACATTTCTGAGTTGTAGCCGGCGCCGTTTGTCTCAGACGGCGAGGATCATTACTTTTTGTGTATCACCTCAGACGGGCGCGCTTGCTTTCATGATGTAAGCACAGGGCAAGACTCGCTCATTCACAAACCAGCCTCGATCTTTTGAGGAAAAAGCACACGCCCGCCGTCGGACAGTCAAAAAAAGAGAGAGGCGGGACGGTCCGGAGCAAAGTTTTTTTACTCGTTTGATTTCGCCGATGAACTTATCCTTTGACGTGTTTTTTAAGTGGTTGTTAAGACTTCTCCATATGTGAGTCTTGTGGTGTAATGGGCCAAAATCATGTTTAGATGCCAAAGTGTGTTATTGACATTCTCATAGTCAAGCCGTTTACATGGCACAGTGTTGTCAGTCTATTCAACTGCCCCCGATACCCCTCCCTGAAAGCCTAGTTTACGCTCTGCAAAAAAAAAAAAGGCAGCATTATTTTCTACAGAAGCTCACCAGTCGCCTTAACCAGGGAGCGTTGTACCAGTATTATAAGAGTAGAAGATGTTGTCAAGTCAGTAATGTGTGCCAAGTCTAGGTTCACCCTTTTGTGTACAGTTAACCTCCCACTCGTCAAAGTCTGGGTTTCGCTCTTCCGCCATTTCGTCCGATCGGAGGCCGGAGCTTGAGAAGCTGAAATGGCCGTTTGTCCTCGCAGCGGTGAAGGAGGAGAGAAAAAAGGAGGCGCCTGTTTGAAGGATGCCGCTCTCTCCGACTTGGTTGTTGTCTCCCAGGCTAACCGGGGTTATTAGAAACAGGGCTATGTGGAGAGACATCTTATTGGAATAGCGACAGGGGAAATAAAGCGCTTGTTGGTTGGAGAGGAAGGGTCACGTCCGCAGGTCCGCACAGGAAAAACAACAGCCACAGCCGAGATGAAGGCAATACAGCTTTCATTATCCACTCGAAGACCAAACCCAATACCAAACTTTATCTGATCTCAAGAAGGGAGGCGAGCAGACTTTTTCCTAAATGCAGTATACACATGAGCAGTGCCACAAACAGCCATAACTACCTGTATGAAAGCTGGACAAGACCAGTTCAATCAGTGTTAACGGACCAGTTTTCTGAACCAGCGCGTGTGCAGGTTTTTTCACGTCGTATATAACCGCTGCAGCGTCAAACCCTTTGCATCCGAGAACTACGATTGCACATCTTCACACCGTCACCTCGCTCTCGCACAATTCGCACGACAACTTCTATTCGTTAAGTGTGGAGGCTACATCACCTGTGCCGTCGCAAATGTCGACTCACGGCGCGCTACTTTATACGGCTGTCTGCGTGTTTTCAGACATTTTAACTGTCCCAAAAACTATGTCGTAAATTGCCAAATCTCACCGAGTTGCACACAGCCCGACGTTGCACAGTCTAGTGTGAAGCATCTTGTCTTTGTTTCAATGTCGAAGCACAAGAGGGTCGTGGAAACAGAGTTTCTGTCGAGCGGCTCACCTCAGGGGCTGTCATCGCCGATGCTCGTTGTAATCTTTCTATCTTGTCACTGTTCACTTCTCTGTTCTCCTTCTTTCTTAATTATCTTAAGTGCTATTTATCAAACAATGAAATCTGAAAGGAAAAAAAAATTGAACTTGTCGTTTCTTTGCATTATGGCTTATGTCAAGTTTTTTGAGGAAAAATGTTTTGTGTGTTCTCTCTTTCCGTGCCGTAAAAAAGAGCTTGTTGTCTGTAGAAATTATCCAAATTCTTTTAATTTTTTTTTATTGTTTTCTTTGTTTCTTTCAATTCTTCAAAAAGGTTTTCAGTAGTTTCAAAGTTATTGTCTTGAGAGAAGCCAAAGTCAATGCATTTCAGTGGATCCTGTAAGCGTGATGTATGTTTGTTTGACAACACTTCGAAATCTGTCACTGGATGGGATTTAAAAAGTACAAAAAATGCAGGCTTTCCTATTTCTACAACTGATTGTACTTATGCATTTTGTACCAGTGGAATTTTTTATACTGGAGATTAAAGGATACAACAAAAAAATCTTAGAAAAAAAGCTGTCTGGCCTGGTGGTGTGGCCTGACTCTGACTGGTCCCCGAGTATGATTTCTAGCTGGCATCAAGAAAGTTGGCTTTTGATATAAGATTTTCTAGAAGATCTTTGGCTTTATTTCTTTCACTTCTTTTTCCTCACTTGAGTGTTGTTCTTTCTTTCTACCTTTCTTTCGTTCTTTCTTTGTTTTCCCGAAAAACAGAGGGTAGGTGAGTGTCAGATCTTTTCGGTTTTGCTTTTTAAATAGTTCTAGCAAGTTTGTCTATACAACAGCGGTAAGTTTCATTTGACTTCTGTATTGTGCCGTCTACACGATAAGACAATTATAGAAAAAGAAGGAATAGAAATATTTAGTCACCTTCAGTGGATTAATGTATTAGTTTAATAAAGAGATCAACTAATTAGAAATTTTTTGCTTTTAGCTGTTTAGATTTTTCCGGTTTCTCTGTCCTTCTCTGTGAACTAACTGTGTAGCTGAAGCAGTCAGAATTATTTTTGTAAACGTATGTTCTTGTGTGATGCAGTTTTTTGCTTCTGTCTCCTATATTAAACCATTTTTCCTAATACTTGTCTCTCTCTGTGTTGTTATGTTCCAGTGCCTGTCTGATGTTGTACTGTTTCACAACCTCTCCCTGCCATTCTCTCGTTTTCTCTCTTTCTCTTTCTTTCATAGTCTCTCTCATTCTATCTTTTTTCCCGCGTGTTCACATTTTTGTTTTTTTTACCACATAGTAAAGTTGACTCCATCCCCAGTGACAACTCACTATGCTGTTCTCACTAAACATAGTAAATATACATCGAAGTGTTTGTATGTATATTACTGTGTAGCCCAAGTCGCTGCGTGACAGTCGAGAAATAAGTCGTCACCCTAAAGAAAAAAAAACGGCCGGACAGGATCCTGGGAATCCTGCTGACTAAATATTGAATTTCAACCAAAATTCAACCAGTAAAAACTAAAAGGCACATTAGCTGGGTATAGAAAAGCTGAACGCATTTTTTGTTCTTAGCTTAAAGGAATCGACATTTTGGGAAATACGAATACTAGTGCTAGGCAGTCACAATAGCTCTCAACAGGCCAATGAGTTTACACGATTTATTCAAAAGCCTAACTGTCTGCGAACTATTTCTCTTTTGGGAAACTGCAACAGAAGAAGTTAATTGAAAGTTGAGGCGACAAGCTATGATAGCTTTCACCATTTTTGGACTCTCTAGCTCTAAATCCACCAAAGTTTTAGATCTCAGAGTCCCGTTGTCAGTGTAGAGTTTCCAGAAACAACTGCACTCGGCCAAGAAATAGTCCGGCTCATAATCTTGCGTAAAACCACAACTCATTTCGGTTTGTGTACAAACAAGATACAACGTGTTAGTGAGCTTCAGAAGCGTACCGTAGATTTATTTTGTTAACTTTAGACGGAGCCATGCTAGCTGTTTCCTCAAATTTCCAGTCTCTATGCTAAGCTAAGCTAAGCGGCTACTGGCTGTCGCTTCATATTTACCTTACAGACATGAGAGTGGTATCAATCTTCTCATCCAACTCTCGACAAGAAAGCAAATTAGCGTATTTCCCAAGATGATGAATTATTTTAGGTACTGCATTTTGAATTCTTTCTTAACTCACTTCAATCAACTGAGAAATGCTAAAATGTCATTTGTTTTCGGACTTTTCCCAGCTGCTGTGATAAAAGCTTAGCTCAAACTGGAATTGGCTGTTGCTTTCAATAAGCGAGCCGGCTCTGATCAGGGAACAGCTAAACTGTTTATTGGCCCCTGCGAGCGTTCCCTCAATCGGGGATTTGGCCCACGCCGTCCTCCTTCCTGTGCTGTCCGCTGTCCTGGGCGAGGCCTGTCCACTGTATGTCCACTTTGTGTCCGATCCACTCCCGTACTGTCTCACCGTCACAACTGCATCCCCAGTAGAGAGAGAGGAAAGAGAAGTCAAAGGTCAAAGTTTTCACCTTTCATTCACAGATACCGAGGAGGGTTTGACATGGGTTTGAATAAAAACAGATTTTTTTCTTTGCTCCACATTTTGAAGGTTAACCCGGAGAAATGATTGTAGTACTAGGAAATGAAAAATGGGAAGATCTAGACAATACTGGCTGCTTTCTGAAAATATAAAAACACATTGTTTATCTAATAAATCACCCGGCAGATTCCTGCCCTTTAAACCAGCTTTTAAAACCAAAGCAGCAGCCCTCAATGCTTTGAATTCTTTATCTTTTTAACTTCATATTACAAATATCCACGTTGCTGTACATTATGTGCTCTCTGGCACATTATGGCATCTTTTCCTTTCATCACTGCACCAGTCCACCAAGTCTGTTATTAAATATTGATTGTGAGGTTCAGGCAAGGCATACAATAAACTGCCCTCAGTCTGTGGATCTAACCCATGGATAGATAATATTACACCTCTTATTATTGTCGTCGTGTGGACTGTAATTCAAGAACATGGCTGCAGCTCAAGGTTTTATTTTTCCTCGATGTTTTTCTCTTTTGTTTTTTGCTCTTCGAGTTTTATTCCATCTTGCAGAATCACTCTTAAAATGTGAAAGCAGCCAGGAAGGGAATGTGTATTTGCAAGCAAAATGTAAATTAAGATTGTGCACACACACATTCGGTAGCCTTAAAAGATTTGATGGTCGTACTGTGGAAAAGGTGAGTGTCTGAAGATGACCACTACATCAGCTGTCGCCCAGGATGCGCCGAGATTCAAGGTAAGGTCCACGCAGTCAGACACAATATTCTAAATAAACAGATATTTTGACAAGTGTGGATGTTTGAAGGTCAGCCATGCCACTGTGAGCACTTTCAATTTGACCGTTTATAAGTCCAGAAGATTTCAAGGCTTCAGGTTTTATTCTTCTCAGAGTCGGAAAGGTTTTGGGCCTTTTACGCCATGCAGCATCACACAGTCTTTAAAATAAGAGTTGAATCACATAAAAACCCCAATGAACAATACAAGACAAAGGGAATGTACAGAGAAAATCAAACAAAGCAAATCTTTCCACACCTGACGGACACTATTAACTGATTAATAACAAGCTTTTTTTAAATGCATTTCCAAAATATTCATTTAGTAAGTCCAGGTAACCTTTACAGACACCAAGGAGTCGTTCTTTCGCTACTTTCCCAATTTTCTGTCATTTCTTGGAGATGGAAAAACCTTAAAAACACCCATCATGAAGCCTCTCAGGCGCGTAGAATGAATAACACATGAATAAATCCCACAATCAATAAGAGACTATTTATAGTGAGCATACAGCAGTGATACTGGATCAATAGACCAAACACAAAGACATTGTTTGCAGATGAAAATAGAGGAGTCACGCTCAATGAAACATCAGAACAAAGGCGATGTTTTTTGGAGTGCGGTGAGAGCAATGTAAGTAATTCAAGTCATACTGTGCAGCGGTTTGGATGCAGGTAAAATAAAGAGTAATGCTGTTGATCAGCAGGCGATCCGTTACCACCCTGCGATTTTTTTTTCTGAAGATATAAGCAACTCTTAAGCCACCAAACCACACAGCTAGTCTATTATTCACGCCTTCACAAGATGTAAAAGCAAGACCTGCCGCAGGGGCTGAGAACACACACGTACACATCAGTCTTCAATCCGTCACGTTCCCGATGGAACCGTGTAAGCATCCTTCCGCTGAGGAACCACAGAGGATGCTGCGCGCTCGCCGACGCCACCCAGAAGCTGAGGAAGTGGGCTGGAGAACAGGAAATTGGTCGGAGAGGATGAGAGGAAGTGAACTGTTTGATTTGAGCTAATGAAGATTAACTACCGGGAAGGAGGCTGATGCTCTGCCAGAGCAGGAAACCAGATCTTCCCTGCAGGTGTTGCAGAAAAGGTCAAGGGTCGACTGAGTTTTTCTGCACTTATTAAGTTCTAGGTTTCAAAGCAGAATTTTTTTGCAGGATAATAGAGTTCAGGAGGAGAGGGTAGTGCAGGAAAACAGCAATTTCTTCTGGTCGCAACAACATCAAGGCCACAACTACAACTAAGGACACCGAGGTCATGAACGGGATGTGTATTTTTTCATGTGTGATTCCACAAGGACACAATTCATTCAGAGAGGGAAAAATCATTAAAGTATGTCCTTACATTCTCTACTCAGTCTGGAGGATAAGGACAAGGACAGCAGCCCTAAATAAACACGGGCTACCCTGTCTTAAGTTTCTGAATCTTGACCTCAGGATCATTTAGGTCCAGGTTGTGTCACCTGCTGAATAACCTCACAAATGAATCCTAATTAAGTGTGTGATCTTAAAATCTACTCATGAGGGCTTTGGTTAACATCTCAGCATTAATTAAAAAAAGGGTTAAGACGGAGAATTCAATAAAATCTGACGCAAATGCGTGTTTATTTATGACTATATAGATATACTGTTAATGCTGTACCTTTGTTTTATATGCCTTATTAGTACAAAAATAAAGAAGAAAACTGAATTACACCATTATGAGGGGTTTTGATAAATACTTACTGTAAAAATGTATACATTACATTTACATACATAAACGTTTTGTTTAGAAAAGAATTCATTAGATTATTTTAATAAGAGGGGACAGTATCATGTATACAGTTTCCTCAGTTTATTTCAAGTAAGCAAATGTTTACAACTTACCAAATATTTACATATAATTTGCTAAATATTAGATGAATGAAATGGAAATAATTACATTATCTTACATAATATCCTGACTACAACACTTCACCCATTCATTTCTGGAAAGCAAATACATTTAAACTTAAACTTTCATGAGAATGGGAAATGAGGTGCACCATTTTAAATCAACAATTCAAGACTTGAAGAGCCACTTTATTATTATTATTATACATTTAGAGTGAGTCATCCGTTTTGTACTTTGTGCTCATGTGTTGTAGAGAGCTGATTGCATTATCATTAACATCTATTTCAACTTTTTTTTCACCTTTCCAACTTCTTTGAATTCACTGTGCCATGGAGCAAAAAAGACAAGTGAGACTGAAATTCCAAATAAAGGCTCTCTTTGGTATGCAGGTAATTAAATTATAGTGTTGATCAAAGGAAGGCCTGGGAGAGGTTTTGTCTTTTTTTGTCTTTTTCTTTGTAAATTTTCTCACCATTTCTTATGCCTTCCTTTGAAGAACTGAAGTGAGTCATTCCCCTTTTGTTAGACAAAATATTCACTGGATTGTTATGCTTATGCAATGCTTAAGCTTGTTGGCAGAACATGGAGAGAACCAGAGAAATATATATATATATATATATATATATATATATATATATATATATAAAAAACAGTTACCAAAGGACTTAATGCATACAGCTGAGTGTTACCAGAGTTTGGTAATACGATGCTGCCATCTTGTGCTGACAGAGGAAAGTAAACCTTGATGCAGCGACCTCGGGATCCACGTCGGGCTCATTAAAACCAAGAATCTCCTACAAAAACACTCCCATGGTGATGCTCTGCTGATATTACGTAAAGAGGGTGCCACCTATGTGAGAGTAATGCCTGTGTGTGTCTTAGCATGCTCTTTGATGAGATTAGCACTGTATACCATGCCCTTCAT